TACAGGGACTCTGTTCATGAAGCGATCTACTCATTACTTGTTAATCACTTGAATAGGAGGACTTGTTTGCCAGGAAAATGCCAGATGAGGTAATGGCTTGTCACTATACAAAATCCTCTGCAGAAACCCGCTAGCAGAGACCAAGGGGCCGATGTGGACTAAGCTACACTGCAGTGGCGCTTTGGTCCCTAACCCAACTCCAAAAGAAGATATGGAGTTGGATGCTGTGTTCCTTGTTCCTTAAAGTTATTCAATTTTTGATTAATTTGCATCCCGGTTTTGAGTTATCGTTATTCGTTATTGAAATGGGGACAAACTGTAGATCACAATATTTCTTCTCTAAGAGTTTGATTAAAACCGGTCCAAATTCTCACTGAATACACATGACAGAAGATACTGTATTATAATTATCATAGTATTAACAGTTAGTGTAATAAATCTAGAATCCATTTCATAAGAATAAAGTTGTTTCCTTGAGCTCGGATACCTCATTGCATTTTGGATGCATGGTGGTGTCATGGCACTATCGCCTCCATAGCAAAAACAGCCTGGGAGAATTTTGCAAGATCTCCAGTGTGTCCCTCCGGGTTCTCTGGCTTCCTGCCGCAGTTCAAACACGTGCAGCTTAGGTTAATTGAATTCTTTGCCTGTAGGTGAGAATGGGAGCATGAATGGTTGTCTGTCTCTGTGTCAGCCATGCGATAGTCTGAATGCCGGTCCAGGGTGTACGCTACATTCTTTTAATGACAGCTGGGATCGACTCCGGACTGCGGAACAAGCAGCTAGGGATAACCATGTAGATGGATGTTTCAACACTCAGATTTCCTTTGCGCATTTTATTTAATTTGCGTGCACATAAAATCCAGAAGAACAAAGACAATGTAGAAATGTACATATCTGGAAAGGTACCTACCTTCCAAATAAGGACAAAAAGCAAACTATAACTAAAAGTGAGAAAAACATCTACCTAACAGAAGAAATGCCTGTAAGAAGTCTCAAGGAATTGCATTTTGGGAAAAAAGGATAAATGGAAAGGCTGGTTGTATGTACTCTAGTATTGATGAAGGTTTATTTTGCTCCACAAGTTCTACTGGCCGGTCACGTGAATACGGGCCTGGAGACATATTTAAATATTCATGTCTCATCAGATTCGAAGGACTTCCTTATTGACTATTTGTCTGCTACAAGGACTAACCCTCTTTGTAATTGACATGTTGCACTATGTATATTGATTATGTTATTAGAGCCTCTACTCGCTCGTAGCTTTGCTTTATTTTGACATACAGTATGGACACGCTTTATCATGTGCATGTAATTCCAATGAAGCGCAACACATAAATAATGAATTGCCGGAGTCGGAAGAGAGTCTCCTAATGATTGCAAAAGTCATTCGTCATTAGTTTGTAATTGCTTGGTCTTCATTATCTTTTGATGAATCACTTTAATGCTAGTATTATAAACCAACATTTCTACTATTTGGGTTAAATGAAGTTACTTTCATTCCAACATGACATATGCCATCATTGGTTGCACGTGGCAACATACATCCAACTTTTTAGTTTTACAAAGAATCCTCCCACAGTCTTTCAGTCGAAAAACAGGAGAGAAAAACAGTGTCATACTATGTTTTGTAATTATGTCTCCTTCAGCGTGTTGGGATCCTGACAGGTCTCTGGTATGGCAGTGTCGCAAAATACATTATGGCAACCTGTATCTTTTAATACATAAATAATGGACTGGCAGCGTAAAAACCCAACTCATTCAGAAGGACGCTTGTACCCCGGTGCACATTAGAATAAACTTCCCCTGAGAGGACTGCGGTAGATCACAAATCCCAGCAACGCTTCTAGACCATTACTAGGAGTTGCAAGATTAAGAAGAAGCTGAGTGTATAGCTTTGCTAATTGCTGTATTAATGCTGTTTCAAGGGCCTCTCCTTTTGAGTGTTGGCTTTGCTCGGAATTACCACATTAAGGACGAATGGTCTCGTGCTGGAACGGCTAACGGAGTATTCATGATAAATTGGTGATGAGTGCTTAACTAATTTATAAAGTCAGCCTGAACGCAGCAGGTTTTGGATCAGAACTGTTGAATTAGCATTACTTTTTACACTGTTATGTGTTTTATGAGAAATTCAAATTTCAAGAAAATCCGCTTTTCAAAACCTGATTCCATGTTTGTGTTCTTCTAAAGTGGGAAATAGGAGTGTAACGCCAAACCGCAGAGGACTAGTTAGTATATTTTTCTGCTTATAACCAGTAGACAATTTGTACATTTTTAATATGGAGGTCTGTTTTCTTCATCATCAAATGGTGAGACGCTCCATTGATGATACTATTCATTATTTATTCTTCAGAGAACAAATAGTAACATGGTTTTGAGCATCGTCAAAAATAGAAGACGCTGGGAGAAGAAAATTGTTATGGCAAAAGCGTCTGCTACTTCAGCACCACGGACAGTGACGATCAATACGAACGCAGCAGTCTGCGCTGGTCCGGCTGCGGATATTCCTCCGAATAACCTTAGAACTTATTATTTCCCTATAGACAGCCGAAAATTACGAAAAACATAGTTTTCTATCATACAACCCTTTTCTCATTTGTGAAACTGGCACATCACTTGTTAAATTACACCTGTGATTAGTTAACTAATCAATTAGCTCCTTTCCCTTTACGAGTGCATTGTTAGAAAATGGAACCAAAAGGCATCGTGAGATAAGATTGCAGGCCGTCTTTCTATGTGAGATCTCAAATGCAACACATATGACCCGACGACCTGAATATTTCATTGGAAGAGCGTGGAGATGAGCATTGTGTGGTTCCTACTTTGAGGTCTGACCTCCGGCGTGTGTGAGTGCATTAGTGAGTTGAAATGTGTGAGTGAAGGTGTGCATGGGCGAGAGACGGAGAGTGAGCGATAAGAGGCCGGTAGTGACTCCTTACTAAGAAGATGGACTGTTATGGCCTCATTGATCTGAATCTCTCGCAGGGAGCCCATTCCGATCGATGCAGGGAGAAGTAGGCAACAGCACAGCTGCTCTTTGGACCACCGCCCTCCGTCTCTCACTGTGTTCACACCGCCCACTCGATTCCCCGTGGCCTCTAAAAACAAGCAAATATTTCTGGCTCCTATTAGCTGGCCTGCTGTGGGGAAAACAGTGATTTTCCACGTTGGGCAGCTGTAATTGTCGGTTTCATTCAACATTCCCCCGATGTAACACCACCGGCCACCGCGGCAACGTCACCTGACCTCACCTTTTTCCCCACCACCATTGTAGTTTCTGTGCAAAGACCAGTTTTTTTTCTTCTTTGTGTTCCATAACAAAGCGAAGGAAAGGAAACATGTCGGTAAATGTGTCACACGCAACCAATGATTGGGCCAAATCAGGCCAATAATAATGTGCGTACTTGTGCTTTATAGGTCAGTAACAAGGAAGAAAAATAAAATTACAGGATGACAACTGTTTTATTCTTTATGTGGTAGAGCAAAGAGCTGTATCTTCATGAAAGCGTGTTTGCCTGCCTGCGTGTGTGTGTGTGTGCGTGTGTGAGTGGTGGGAGACGGACAGAGAGTCAATGAGAGCGTCGAGGGGACGCAGCGGCGCACTCGTCTCCTCTTAGGGCTGCTTTATTTGAGTAAAGAGATCAGTCTTGGGGACAGCGGTGTGCGCAGTGGAGGGTGTTTACCCCTGCTTCGTCTCACCTTGCATCTCAGGTGGGACGCGGGAATGCGATTGCGGCTCTCAGGGGCGCTGCAGAGCAGCAGATGGCGGAAAAATCAATCAATAAGGAAGTGGCAAAACAGGACAATTTGGGTCCCACCGAGGAGAAGAGAGACACTGCGATGCTTCTGCTTTTTGCAGTAATGTGCCTGGTAGCAGAGTAATGCGCGGCCATTCTGAGGACGGTCACTCTCAGTTCAAGATACCTGTTCAGGGCAGCAGATCAGCGCCATCACTAGTAGGCGGAGAAAAGTGGTTAGGTAAAACAAATCTCATACCTTTTTTTTTTTAATTCTGTAATGCCAAAAACAAAACCTGTATAACTCAACATATTAGTAAGACAACAAATTTGCAACAAACATTGCAATACGATCAGGGAGAGAGAATGAACCTGAAAGGCAGGAATATGCTCCACCAATTTCTGTTTAAAAAACAACTCCATTTCTTGTCTGGAATGGAGCCCTTTATGGATTCCCTGTAATAATGGAATACATTTGTGTAATGTGGATAATGCTTTAGAATTACTGTTTCTATGTCTTGATCACTTCTAACTTAGCGTGAGTAAGAATCTGGAGAATATCATGGTGAGATCTACTTGCAGTGTCTTTAAAATGTGGAACATTACATTACAGCTGTTTTCTCAAAATGAGTTTTTGACTGAGGGTTTTGTTCATACATCATTCAGAGCCTGAGCTCAATGACTCTAATTTGTCAACAGAGTGGAACTTATCTAATGTCAACATTTTATCTCCAAAGAGATACTAAATTAAAGGAAAGCCGTATTTTTCAAACTTCTTTTAAAATGTTCTCATGTAGGCGGTTATTATCACTTGGTAAAGGACAATAAATGTACACGCCTTTTGGGTCGTAGCTAACTAGGACCTTGTGTCTTCTCGGTAACTCCAAGGTCTGTGTGATTATTAGCGGTTAGACTGTGATCCGAGCTTCCGAATAAAGCTTTTCAATACTTTTGAAAGCGCCTTGCCGGATCGAAAAAGAAACAAGAATCATACTGTTTGTAGAATGAGCCCAGCATGAAATACCACTCCATTTCAACAGAGACCTTTGATGTGTGATGTTCTTAAATGAAACATCTCACCCACATCACAGAACCCTATTAAATGCGACTCGTACAGGAAGACAGAAAGAGGGAGATTGAGAAAGCCGGAGCAAAGGAGCGCTGACCTACGTGTGCATGAGAGAGAGCAAACAATGGACCCAACATCACATGTGTCGAGCACACCGTTAAAATAGAGCAGAAGAGATAAAAAAACAACTCATTTCAAGAGCCCACTATTGAGCATTTTTATTAAAAGTAATATGACGGCATGTTTATGTGTTGACTCTATAATGGAGAGGAGCCAGAATGCACATACAACTGAAGAAGCAACTACATGAGTAAAAGGAAACACACATCTGTATGACAATGGGTATCCTGCATCTCCTGAAATAACAAAAACACTTTTTTGTTTTTCCCACTAACTAGCGTGAGCTTTACAAGTGGAAGCTGCGGGTGAAAGCTTTTCACAGCCGGCTAGCGTCCAACAACGGCAGTATCGACACAGAAGTCAGTGGGAGCTTTCGATTTGATTTTGTTTGCATTGTCATGGATTGCTAAATTCTTGCGGTCAGACCTGAAAGCTTCCACTGTTACACTGGGTACATGTCAGTGTGTGTGTGTGTTTGTAGAGGATTTTAAAGCATCCAACTATTAGAAATAAATAACATTATATTTAATCGACAAAAATCACCACTGGCAGTGAAACATAATAGAAATCCACCATCAGTGTGTGTGTGTGTGTGTGTGTGTGTGTGTGTGTGTGTGTGTGTGCGTGTGCCTTTGCTCCTCTTTTGGTATTTAATGCAGAGAACCCATCTTCAAAACGGCTATCATGAGGTTAATTGCTAAGTCATCACGCTGGCACCTTCACAACCACATTAACGCTCACACACTCCAATGATCACACGCACCTAAAGGGATGGTGGATAACACACACACACACACACGCCCTACGTATTGTTACTGTGTTAAAACACTTTTTTTATCAATGCAGAGGAAGCATTCTCTAATGGTCTGACTTTACAGACAGATAATGGGTCTAATTCAGGAGCCCCACAATAGATCATCTTTAATACAGTTAACCGTGTGTAGATCTGTCGGTAGTTTTTGGCCATGGAGGAGCAGAGCTCGGAGCCACAGGTGCACCACAGCAGCGCTGAGACGCACCACATCACTTAGCAACCACTTTGCCCCATTACCCAGAATCCACTGGGGTCCTGTTAGTGTATTAGCGGGGTGTTCTGCTCGTTTCATATTAGTGCTCCTAGCTCATATTTTCTTCCACCTGGGTCAACGATGAAACCCAACGGGTTACCCAAAAAGATTCTCTTTTCCTTTTCTTCTTTTGGCATTTTCTCAGTTTCTTGGCGCACTCCAGCGGCTACTTTCTTCTTGGTCCCACCCAGCAGTATCTCCTCCGCTGTCTCTCACACAGGGAGAAATCCTATTTGTCTTCTCACTCATGGCAGTACTGATTGTTGCGGCTCAGTCCGGCTCAGTCCGGTTCATCCGTTTGATCTGGCGCCTTGAGATCCGTTGGGCTTCAAAATCTTCTATTTTCAAAAAGAGTATGCATAGAAAAGTGGGTTTTACACGGCAGCATTGGCATGTCATGATATGGATTTGTAAAAGCTGCATCAGGCAATGTTGCACAGAGAGAGCTAACTATCTATTCAGTAACAATACACCATGCAATATAGCTGTATCTTCTCCTTGGCCTTTTTGCCTCTTAATGGCTGCTGATGGGAGCCTTCCCAGCTTTTTCTAACACCCCTTTCTGTGCACTGAGAGGACATCCAGTAAGTTTTGTTTGACCAGAACACAATGAGGAGGGATGGGACCTCAGCATTTGGGATTTACAGTGATGTGATTTCCAGGAAAGTCGTTCCAAGAGCAAATCTCTTTTTACTTTTGCAGCAGCCAGTCGTCCCGTCCAGCTCTCAGTCCACCGATCGGCGTCTGCTCGGCTCGAGCGCCGCCAGTGTACACTGGTCTTCTAACAAACACGGCGGCTGCTGCTCAATACCCCGGGCAAACAGCCTGATCAACTGGCAGTGGACACTGCAGGGGGGAACAGAGAGTACGCACACACACACACACATACACACACACACACACACACACACACACACACACACACACACACACACACACACACACACACACACACACACACACACAAAAGAGAAGCACACCAGGCCTCAATTAGCCTGAATAACAAACCATCAACTTAATGACACACACAATTTGATGAGGCTTTACTTTCAATGTGGCAGATGTAAAAGCAATGGAACGACATGCTTCTGTGCAGACTTGACAAGCAAACTTGTCTGCACACAATCTTTGTAGTTGTGTTAAGTATGAGGAAGAAGATCTGTAAAGAGAGAATCTTTTAACAGATGTTAGAATACAGACTGATGTATACAGTGAAACTAGAAGCGTACAAGCTTGAAAGGAGCTGAGAAAAGGATAGGTGGCTATTATCGTACAGTATTGTCTCAATTACTGCCCGTGTCTGCTGAATGACGCCTGTATTTCTACAGCAACACCTGTTGTTTACTTGCAGGCTTCATCAATCGCAGTAGTTAAACTTAACATGTTCAACCTAATGTGAAGAATTTTTTTTTCAGAATGCCATTCACAAAATTAATAAAAATACCAAAAGTTAAATACAAAACCTATATTTGTTCATTTGGATCGATCATTATGGCAGTATTTCTCTCTTCCAATGTAAAACTCTTCCTTTCACTCCGTTTCGCCTGGGATATTACCGTTAATTATCCGAGCAGCACTCTGGCTGGCTCACTCTAAGAGCGATTAGCGTGGCGGAAGAGGCAGTAAAAGGACCGACTTCTGCTTTAATTAAAGGGGAGTAGCCTTTTAACACGGGAAGGGCCGTTAAATTAGCAACATTACAGCACCATGCATCATTGGCAAAGTACAATGGAGCATGAAATAAATGATGCGTTCTGCAGCGCCACACTGGCGTTATAGAGATCTGACATGGGAGGAAGCTGGAGTGTTGACAGGACCAGAATAATAAGTGGGTGCCAAGATCGGCCAGCACCGAACAATGATGGAGTCTCCCCACCACAGACTGCTGGACTGTCTGGGAAAGTAGAACCTCTTAACGCTAACCAATCAACGTTTTGTTTGGGCCTGCGTCTGTACTGGTTGCCTGGTCAGACTAGATGTTCTCTATGCATTTATGAGAACACCATCTGCTGCGGCTGATTATAGAAACCGAGTAATCAGTGACATATATATTATACTTTGTAATTTTGTATCTTCGTTTTTGGTTCCCTGCTTCCAAATGGTGCTTTGCCAGCACTGTGTGAATTACGTTACTTGAGTGCAATGTGAACTAATATCTTTCAAGCATACAGAACGTTGACTATTTCTGCTTAGACTTTAAGTCATGGTACTTAAAATTTAAACCGGAGATTACACCTGCAATACCCAGAAAAAGAAGAGCCTTTGTCTGATGCCATCGGCAGGAGCCCGGCAAGTATTTCATTGCTTTTTTTATTATACCTCTTCTACAATATAATGTAAACCAATTCAAAATTTGCCCGTCCTCATTTCTGCTGAGAGAGACAGACCGTGCCTGTCTTATAGCCCCAGAAAGTTAATTTCTTGGTCACAGGCTTCATGAAAGGCAGAATAAGCTGGCACAGTGAAAAAGTGATTGAACCATGCCTGTCTCCAGCTGTCACGACTGACTGGCGGATGACTATTCATGGTGTTGTTTCTCCAGGTGCTGAGTCGAAATGATTGCTCCGCTTTACTTTCTTTGAAATGTGGAAAAGAGGGCGCTTTAAATGGCGACTATTGCGTTCAAAGGTGATTGTGTGATTAGTCACCTGACTTGGATGGCAGCGCGAGGCAGGATCTCCCCGTCACAATTCCAGCTGCTGCAGCTGGTGCCGTAGTCGCAGGTAGTTTGGGCCGAACAGACGGGTCTGAAGCCGGTTTTCTTTGGGCTCTCAATCGGGTCCTCTAATGAGACCACCTCATGGCGCTGCGGCTGGAAACAAAACCTCCTCACCCGGTGGACCTCAACGAAGGAGTGGTCAAACTGAGAGAGATGACACAGAGGAGGAGAGTTGACTCGATGGATGGAAGAAGAAACAGATGTGTCCACAGCTGGTGGAAGGGGAACGCCACTCTCCAGAAGCACTTGGAAGAGTTTTAGGTCAAACTGCTGGAGGCTGCGAGGGAACAAAAAAGGAGAGAACAAAACTGTAAAAGCTGCCGAATGCATTTTGAATTTTTTCCAGTATCTTTTTCATAATTACTCCATTTTTGTTGTTTCCATAAGGGTGCTTCAATCAGAGGGAATTAAAAAACCCAGGCAGAACACAATTGCATTGAAGTGATGGTGAAGATGGAAGCCTTTTAAGAAAAGATTACTTCAGTGCCTGAGCTACAATTTAATGGATTAAGCTCAAACTAAAAAGTGAATTTATGATATAAATGATTTGTCTGGAAGATAAATCGATTCAAAACTCATGTTGAATTCAGAGATTTAAATGTATCAAATTGACCATAAACTATTCTAATTGTAATCAAGCAATGAAACTGAAAACTGGAAGAGATGCGTTTGCTCATTCACAACGTTTTCTTGGAAATATGAAGATCGTATTGGACTGCTAAACAAGCCTTGCCATGTACCGGTAATTCTTCTCTAGTTTACAGGCTCCCTGGGGGTGGGGTAACAACATGTTTTGAAAGTGGAACTACACGTCAATTTATTCTATGCTCCCCATTGACAATAAAGAAAAACCTCAACAGGAGTTAAAATGAAAATGGAGGGAGTGAAAGAATAAGAAGAAGTCGGATGAAACGGAGGTGTATAAAAACGATATACTCAGCAGGAGTGTAGAAAAGACGCACCGAGATATAAGAAATAATTTTGTCTCCTTTCATCTCACTCAGTGTGGTAGAAAGGTTCAGTTCTGTCCAGCGCAGTTTCTTCTACTTCACGGGGCGCCACTTGCTCTCAATTGTCGGCCCCTCTTCTTCACCTCTTCTTCCTCTCTCCCCTCCCCCTTTTCTCGCCTTCTTTCATCCCAAAAGCGGAGTGACAGCCATTTACTTCACATCAGGCCCACTTTATGACTGGAGCCGCTTTGCATTCATGCTGGACTGTCTGCCTGAAAGCCTTTCTGACAAGGCCATGAATACGCTTAGTGGCTTCTCACTCCTTGTATCTCCCCGCTTGGCTGGACAGTGATGCTGATATTAAGTGAACTCAGATGCATAGTCCCACTCACCGTACTTATATGACTACTTGTCTCTTTCTGTGTTACAAGTGAAGCGGCAAAGACAGCCTTGAGCCACAGACGCGTCGTGTCTTTTAAACACCACACTGTGATCTGTGCTCATTAGACGGTTAATGATAATATCATTTGGTTTTCTCAATTACAGTGATCAGATATCTCCATGATGAACGTTCATCTTAATTCATTTTGGATGGGAACTAAGCCAATCTTTTGTGAAGGCATTGTGTGAAGTGGGACCAATAAGGGACACATACAACATACAGTATGCTGCATAGAGTTAGAAATATTTTTGTTTTCGGAATAGAGAACAAAAATCCTCCGGAAACTAGTGATTTGTTGGAAAAAACCTACAGGTTAATTCATTTCTATAAAGGTTTTTCTAAGTTTAAGTTTGACTTTTCAAAAATAACGTAAAAAAAGGTACATTTTACTACTCTCCAACATTATGATACAAATAAGGGTTTTTCAACTGGTTGTATTAAGTCGAGCCACCTAAAAGTCCGCCGAGATGCCTCTGACAGGTGCCTCTTTCTTATCGTGTCTTTGGGGGTGAAAAGTACTTTTTGGGCCCATTTGACCTGATAATGCTGCTGTCTGAAAATTACATTTTAAAACTAAATCAGCAGGTTTTTTTCAGATATTCTGAGGGGCGTGATAATGCCTGTGAGTATAGATGCAAAGTCAATGCACAGACGCGGACGAAGCGAATGAAGGCGAATTAACTACCGCTAGTCAGGCGAGTAAACTGTGGCGAAAATTTGCTTCCGCATTAGCATCACTATGTTTTTTCTTTCTAGTTTCTTATGTGGCTGTTGTGCTCATTTAATCTTTTTCATCGTTTTTGTTTCTTGTTGGGTCCCTGTAAAGCACTTTGTGCGGTATGGAAATGTTTACTTACTTCATCTTTGATTTAATTTTGCTTGAACACGTTGGTTGTTTCATTCAGTCATCTCGATGTAATGACCTTTTCATTGCAATCGCGGTATTCCAAGGACAGACTCCAACGTAGTCATTTCTTCAATTTACTATATTTTCACTGTCAAAGCAGCAGTTTTCTGTCTACCATTTAGTTGGTCTAATGGTTTTCTACTGCGGTACTTTATTCATTCTAAAGCTGTGAATAAATATATAATCATCTCTCATTGATTTGCTTCCTTGTAATGAAAAAAGCAAGGCAAAATGTTGACCCCAGCATGTCAGTCTCTTAAAACACTGTTTACCAAGGTGTTGAAGTTACATACAGGTTCCTTCTAGATGGGATAAACCTCCCGAGGTCCTTGTTGAGGTAATAATTACTAATCACCAGACTTTCCCTGGCACTTCATGAAAGCATTAGGTCTGTTCTCCCCTACAGCGTATACCTGATGCAGCCATAACCGGTGCCTCTCTGGACCAAGGTGGAGGTTATTTATGATACGTGGGAAGAAACGAGGGCTAAGACTTTTGAACTTAAGTGAACCAGAGTTTGGAAATTGAGCCCAGTCAGCAAATGGAGGTGCTAGCACAGCAAGTGGGCAAACTCCTGCCTTCCTACTGCTCGTTTACAGTCCTAAAGCACTGAATTCATCTTTGCACACATTCAAGCAACTCCTGATGATGAGAACCGGATTCTGCAGCAAAGTGATTGAGGGCATAGGTTTTTTTTTTTAAGGAAGGATGCCATTTTTTTTTTTTTTAGGATCCCTCTCTGATAGTTTTTCTATCTTCTTATCTGGGCAGATTGCAGATCATATCATTTGGAAATATAATCTATGTATGGTCAATTACTTTAGGGGTATGAAATTGATCGCTCATCCAACGTCTTCACTCCTCTTACCTGGTCTTCTTTGTTTGTGTGTCGGACCAGGTGTCGGAGGAAGTCCAGGCGGGAGCATTTCCTGACGAGGATGAGGTCCGTGGTGCCATCAGCGAGGTGAGCGGAGGGCGAGAGGCCCTTCGGACTGCGGGGACACGCGCAGCTCATACTGGCCGCATTGATGGCAATAAACTTTCCGCGGATCACACTCCAACCAACTCTCCCATCTGAAACGGAGGAGTCAAGAGCCAAGTTTGCTTAACCGTGTCAAATCCCGTCCCTCGGACATTTAAAACGAACAGACCTCGAGCTGCAGTGAATACACTGTTCTGTAATCAATCTACAATGCAAAGCAGTGCTGTAGCATTTGAAAACCTGCCACATTCAATTTAGTTTGCATATTCTGCCAGCTATAAACTACATTACATTAGATGCCATTTAGCTGACGCTTTTATCCAAAGCGACTTCAAATAAGTGCATTTCAACCATAAGGATACAAACTCAAAGGAACAAGAAAGTGCAGTTTCATTAAATAAGCCGATTTACAACTTGCGATAGATAAAAGCCATTATAAGTACAATTTTAAGTGCTACAATTCATTAGGTAGAGTCTGAAGAGGTTTGTCTTTAGTTTGCGGCGGAAGATGTGAAGGCTCTCTGCGGTCCTGATGTCATCAGAGAGCTCATTCCAGCATTTCGGAGCAAGGACAGCAAAGAGTCGTGATCTCGTTGAGTGTTTTGCTCTCAGTGAGGGAGGGACAAGCAGATGCAGAGCGGAGAGTGCGGGTCGGGATGGAGGGTTTGACCATGTCCTGGATGTAGACTGGACCCGATCCATTCACAGCATGTTACGTGAGCACCAATGTTTTGGAGGCGGGCAGCCACCGGTAAACTTGTAGTAAAATGTAAACAAAATTTCAGGGCTCTCTGAGTTTGAGATCCCAGAAAAGCCAGTCAAACCTTTGGGGTGCAGTGAAAAAAACTTGATAAAAATGAAAAATAGAAATAAAACAATTTGTCACCCATTATTGTCACTAAAGCTCACTTTGTCTTAAAGTATTCATTATTAAAATGCCAAAGCATTTATTCACAAATGTGAATGCAGTTGTGCGGTCTCCTCTTATATTACCATTTAATAGACAGTTGTTTCAGATTATGAACTGTCAAACATACAAACTCAGAACGTGCCATGAAAAAATATCAAATACAAAGTAAAATTCATAACTTGTGCAGCATTTTTTTTTGGTCTCTTGCCTGGGTGTGCCAAGTGGTGAACGACCTGCGGTGCGTTTAGTGAAACAGCGACACGCACGTTTTCTTGCGGTGAGTTTGAGTGTGTCTATCAGTGGGTAGAGGAGAGTGTGGTGCAGTTTTTTAAACTGACCATCAGGCTTCATTTGGGATTTTCCAGAGGTGCTGATTTTTGACCGGCATTTTTTTTTTTTAAATGAGTCCTAAAGTGTGAGTTCCCCGCAGCAGTGATGCTGATGAGGGTCCATTAGGAATCCAGATGTCTTGGTAGCGTGTTACCCTTGAAGGACAGCTGAGCGTCGCATGGTAATAAAATGCAATCAGGTTTGGCCGAGGAAGGGGTCAACGGCTTCTAAAGAGCAGTTCATGTAGCTAGAAGATGGATGGGATTAACCTCAAGTTTGCTTGTTATGATTAAATGAAAAAGTGGCCTCCGAATATCAGATGACAGACGCAACGGTTGCACTCTGCTCCTCCGAGATTAGCGCATCAAACGACAACTGTGTCACCCGGCGGGGCTGTGAGTGCTCGCCGCAGGGGTGAGATACATTGGAGTAAGCCGGAAATAAAATGATCGCAGAAATCCAAACTTTAGAGGAAAAATGATGGGATCTCGGAAAGCAGAACAATTCGTTACCTCCACCCTCCTCATTTGGCAAAACCAAATTTAGAGGTAACTTGAAAGGATGATAACAGGCCTGCAGAGTCTACACACACACCCACGCACACAAAATAAGGATATCTGACTCGCATAGCAATGATTAAAGCTGAATGAAATAAAAACAACAACGAATCCAACCGTGGAATGTAGGCTCTGGATTACTTCCAAATGAGTATTTGCTTTCGGGGGGTTAGGTTGGCTCATTTGCAGCGAGCGAGAGAAGGGAGGGTGTCCTGCCTCGTTGATTCACCAGTTGTCTTGAGAGATTTAAAAGGAAAAAAACAGAAAGGAAAACTAAAAAAACAAAAAATCGCAAAACAACCGGCTGGACGCCGTGAGACAAACCAACTGTCAGAGCGGGGGAGGCCAAACCTCTTTGTGATTAGTGCGGATTCTATTACACATCACATGCAAGCAGGTGGAAACGTATGATGTCTGTAATTGCAAACAAAGGTTTCTGTACCAAATTTTAAGTCCGGGTTTTCTGATCAAGTCAAATACTTATGTCATGCAATAAAATGCAAAATATATATATTTTAAATCATACAATGTGATATTCTGGATTTGTTTTAGAATCCGTTACAAAGCATGTAGGAGTCTTCAACAGTGAGTAAGTGGGAAAACCTGCAAAATCGTCAGTGTATAAAATACTTGTTCTCCCCACTGTATCCCTCTAGTGTTTTGAAAGAATACTATTATTCCTAATAGAATGTTGTTATTTATAATCAGGTAACTTAATGCTAGCTGAAACTATATGTGACTGACAGGGCTGAAGGATCCGGTGTGATGGAGGTCAGTGGTCTACAGATCTGTGGTTGAAATATAAAGGCATTTGTTGTCTAGGCTACTACAAGGCATAGCGTAAACTAGAATATTTCAGGATGTCTAAAACAATGTATATCCTTGGATATCCAAAAGGCTCCCAGTAGGGCTAAGCCCCCTTTCTTAGAATCTCATCAAGACGACGCAGGGATGCGGCAAAGTGCAGATATTTGGAAATTAAGGCAAACAAAAAAGTGAAAGTGAAAAAGCCACTGTAGGGGCGCTAAAATCAGTTTTTATATTGTTGTCGATAACTCATCAAGAATCTCATTTTGCTGTGCCGCTGGAGAAAAACAGCCGCAACTGAAAGTAGAAATAGTTAAAAAGATGATCGTGGTTTTTACATTCAGTCCAGCTCAGGTACCACAGAATGTAAATCTCCCCCTGATTTGTGAGCAAGTGACTTCAAGGGAAAAGCGCACCAGCGTGGGATTGTTATCATTTTTTGTCTTTCCCCTCACACAGCACCCTTGAGATACACTTATTTCCCACATCCCAGCAGTCTAGAAAGGGCTTCAAAAAAAAGACAAACAAGCAGAGAACGAGGCAGCGCAATGAGAAAAGGGTTTTCGGGGATATTAATTTGACACATTTCGAGTAATAACCCCACACTCGTACCTTTGTCAGACGTCTCCTGTGACATCTCCCACTGCACGTCTTTTGATGAGGGCTTGTGCTGACAGACGTGGCACCTGAAAAATATCAGTGTAACCTGGTTTTACATTCATGAAGCCATCACGGTTGCTGTGACATTCAGGGTCTTAACAAGCTAAGATGACACATTAGTAAATTCAGTCCACTTTAAAAAAACTTGCATAGAGAAATTTGAGTAGTATACAGCCAGAGAAGCCTTTTGACGCACGGTCATGTCTCTTTTTATGATAAAATAAGTTGCCAGAAAACATGGCATTTTACATTTTAATGGTTTTCAGCTCCTTTCGATCCCCATAACAAATGCAAACATTGGTGGCACAAAGAGTCTAAAAAACAAACAAAGCACTTCTCCTACTTAAGCGCTTTTTGAATGGACTCAGTCTGGGCTCAGTCTACAATGAATCAGATTGGCCTCCTGACAACGTAAACTGTCCCGTTTAAGCTCTGGCAGGTGCACTGCCGCCATTGAAGTGCATCAGATGAGTTAGCACATTAAGCCAGTGCTGATAAGCTGCAGAACCGGATACCTCTCATGCTTTTATTTACCCGGATCGACACTGAAGCTTGTCCCTGGGGTCCCCGATGTTGTTCTCAGCAAGGAGGAAAGAGATCGTGCCTTCATAGTAGTTGTGACTTAGGAAGGTTTTCACGCCTAGAAGACAAACGGATTGCGGGCCGCAGAATGAATGTCAATATGTATTACTTGCTGTGTTTAATTTACCCTAATTATTAGCTTAAGTTCTAAAAGTGACACATCTGCATAACTAATTGAACCACTATTCCTTATCTTTCTCTTCTAATTCCCCTATTTTCTCAAGGCTGTTGTAAAAAATAAAAATGTAATAATACATTCAAAAGTTTGCTGATAATGCTGTAGTGCAAATAACAGACGCTTTTATTTAAAAGACTTGTGTTTGTTAGCCCAGGGGCCTGATTAATAAAAAATGAATTAAATGATAACTACATAACATTAGGTTTTTAGCCCCGTCATTGTGATGTTAGTTTCTCTTTCAAAGCACTGCTGTGCCTCCATACAGCATCACAGAGCTGCTGGTGTTGCTGCTAATTAGATCTGGATTTAGTAAACTATGCCATCACAATGGATAAGTCTTACATATCTCACACTGGGGACATTTTCATTCACAAATGACCCTGTACTTCTCAGGTTTTTTGGTTAATAGTTAATGTCATCAGTGGCACCAGTTAATTTATCTCCGTTGTACAAATCAGATTTCAATGTTGATGCATTTATTGAAGGCTCTTTACAGTGTGTGAGCGTTTAGCTTCCGTGGCAAGAAACATCTTGGTGAGCCTTTCTTGAGTCCCACTACTGAGCCACACAAATGCTTTCACTGAAACTCACAAGCTTTCGGGCTGTGTGTTAGATTTATGTCTTAATCCTCAAAAGTCTGGACCGGGAGCACGAACAGCAAACTCAGGGATAAACTCAAGGTTACCTCACATTAAAAATAGCCTGTGTAAGGTCAGTGAGCAAAGAGTTTTTGGAAAAAGGTTAACGTGTGTAGGTAGGCTTAGCTTGAAGAGTCACTCAAGTTTAGGAAAGAATGGCCCTCATACCTGACAGGTCATATCTAGCAGGTCCCAGATATCGCTTTTTCTGGCTGTCTGTCAGTACATCACCATAGAACCCGTAGCCAAGCAACGAGACGGAGTATCTGAGGAAGACGTCATCGTGGTGAACTGAACACACGTCCATCGGTTGGGAATCTCCTTTTAAGATACACCAAGGGTCAACAACGATCGCAGAAAATTTAAACATCATGCCAAGTCTTCTACGAGTCCTTTCATAATTTCACTCACCCACTATGACGTGTAAAGCAGAAGTAACTGGATCGTTGGTTCCCACTGTGGCAAAGCAGATGCAATCAGTGGAGCCTGTTGGATAAGAGACACACAGGTCGATGGTGAGCCATTATAGCTCCTGTATGGGCAGGCTGAAGACACTGATTTAAAAAAGGAAGAAGAAATCACCCGCAAAAAATGAATAAATAAATATCAGCTAATAGCAAACCTTAACTATTCAAAGGCAATATGTTTAGAAACGTTCCCTCGCTTTAGGCATCATCCCAACAGATTATGTCTGTTTTTTGAAAACGCAAAAATGTAGGTTAGCTTTCCCTATTGCCATGGTTGGTTAGTTGACACTTCCTGGATTGAATTGCAAATATCTACTGGGATGCATACGGAAACATGAACAGGAGCACGCAAACTGTGATCCTTAATCGTACTCCACATTTATCCACACACACACACACACGCTTATGTAAAAATATATTTATTACATAGCTTAACACACCTACCAAGCACATCTTTCAACAAATGACAACACTTACTGAGTCTACCATCTTAGTTTTGCCTGTTAGCTGGCTGACATTTGCTAAAAGGACTGAATACAAAGTGAAAAATGTCATTAGCGATAAACCAAAAAATTTGAGAAATCAGATGGGTGTCCTTCAGATTATTTGGTCAATAGTTGCTCAAATTGATCAGACTCTATAGTCTTTGAGACCGACTTTCATCACAATATCAAAATGATGTTGATATTAAAGGACTCTGCGGTCCATAGAATACAGGCTTGTTGGGAGACCCCACTGGTTGGTAAACCTGGAACTAATTAATTTCACATGTGTACTTGTCTAAAATAGATTGCCCTTTGGTAGAGCGACCGTCTTTCAAAGCTGCAACCTAGTCCGAAGAATCCAGTAGGAGGATTCTATTAGGCAGAAGTAAGGAGATGTCTTAGGCAAGTGAACTAATAGGAAAGCTGCAGGCCATTGGGCAATCACCAATGCTCTTCAGCCAACAAATGACGGATAACACACATCCCCTGCTTGAGAGAAATGTTGAGCCTGATATTAAATCTTTCAACTGGAGAGGTAATAAGGCTCCATCTTTTTTTCCCGTGCCAAATGGTGTAATTTCAGACCTATCTGCCCAACTTTGATTATCTTCAATCGTTGAAATGGAGGGAAGGAAGGAAGGAAGGAAGGAGGAGAGTAGCGAGTGAAATCTAACAAGTGGCGTTTTGAGCTGGCTCAAAGAAGCATGACAGAGATGAGCTCCGTCATTCAGTGGTGGAAACACAGATGAGTATGAGTATATCTACCTCTGACGTTCTCCTGCACGATCAATGAATATCACTTATCTGGCTTTTGAATCCCCCCCGAGCTTCATCGTCACATTGTGACAGCGCTACAATGCCGGATGTGTTTCACAGTGCAAAAACAGTGGTGACATTTTGACTTATTTAAAGTCAACTTAAAGGTACAAGTGGATCACCCGGATGTTCAATGATGTTCAGCCCTCAGCTGCACAATGTCTTATCCCCCTCGAGTCACTCAACCGGAGCCTGTTGGCATATTCAGAGGTGAGATCATAAAACACAAAGCCTATCCTCCGTTGAGAAGTTCCACTTTTTATCTGCAGTTCCCCCAACATTGTCTTGCCATGTAACATCGTGGCAGTGAAATCATCTTCATCTCAGCAACAACAATGGAGTCGTGGCTGTTGGTGCCGCCCCACAAAGGGTATGTTTACCGTTCTCATCCTCGGTACATTCATGTATTTATAGCTGCATGTACGGCTGTGTCTCTTAACGACAAGAGTGAACCCTTTCGAACCAGACAAGAGGACCTATGAATAACACAAGGTCTATTTCTGTAATAAAAAAAAGCCCCTTGCAATGTTGCAGGCAGTGCCAGTGGTACGGCAGCATTTGAGAAAACATCCAACAAAACAAGCAATTTGTGGATATGACAGCACGATGACAAGGCCATACATGAGATCGCAACTCTTAATTTGAATTTCGGCATTGAGGGTTTTAATATCTTACTCTTTACATCAATTTGACAGCAATACTGATAAAAATAATAAAAAGAAATTCTGCCGCGTCCCGATGAGCAACATACATTTTTCCGACATCCCTACCTTTTGCTTGAGCTCTCGTCTCTCATCGTATCTAAATTATAAATGCTTCATCTAGTAGAAAAGGGAAAACAACTTACTATAAGAGTAAGCACTATTTTGGCAGATGTCCCACAAACAGAAACAGACTGTATTTATTGGGGACTACTTTCAGCTGCGGATACCACACATTGGTGCTCTGTTGAAGTTATTTCAACAGAACAGTGTACGGGAGGAAATAGTTCAAAGACTATAATAGCCATGGTCATTTTAATCATGGAACCTCTCTGTCAGTGTAATATTGTGGCTAGATTATATATATATAATCGGGTGGATGTGTGGATCAACGTGTGACAAGAAAAAGTTGGCAAATAAATGGACTCGTTTTCAACGTAACAAAGGTTACAGGACTCTCATTCATCCTTCATGGTACAACAGTGGCGCGTCATTGAGGTTTTCCGGACAAAATGCCTCAGTGGCTTAAAGCGTTGGCTTAGCCTCCACACACACACACACACACACACACACACACACACACACACACACACACACACACACACACACACACACACACAATAATATATATTATATATATTATGTATTATAATCATCGGTGAACACCACTTGTCATTTTATTCCGTCCTCATGGGAGCAAGAGAGACAAAAGTAGGATTCAAACTTGTCTAGTACCTTCCCAGAAATTACACAAATTATAATTTTTATTGGGATCAATTCATGGTATATTTGGATGCTTTCATGTCATTTTAAGATTGTAGATGTTTTCTGCTGCTGCTATTCTTACAAAAAGTCTTTTCCTGACTAATTGTCCGCAGTCATTTCTGTCAGTGAAAGCCTACGGCAGAAACTCTTTTTTTCTTCATTTAAGCTGTAGAGCTCATCAGCTTGCCCTTGCTTTAACAATACTTTGGGAGCAATGGCAAAAACCTGCTTTTAATTAAGAAATTGAGAGAATTGCCGTGGTCACTTTAGGCCTTGTTCAACTCTTGACGTGAAAGCAAACCAGAGCACAATTAGCCACTAAAGTCCTGCTGTCCTTGCATGAATAGCATACCGATAACATTTCAAAACCGCTTTTGAACCACTACATCTACTTGAGAGCTTTGGTCTCTGAAGCCCTTCATTTTTACTAACAACTTCACCTTATTGAGTTGTAGTGAAGTGAAAATATTAGACGTTACACATATAACATTTTCTTTCATCTGTAATTGTGAATGGGTAAATGAACACATGCAAATTGATTGTAATTGGCCTTAAAATAATTTGCTGTGTCCTGAGCTGATTTTTACACCAGTTTGTAACATCAAGCTGTGCACCAAATAGCTTCATTGGTCTCCATGCACTGTGTTTCTATCCTCGTGAAAATTACAGTGATCTCAAAATGTCTCACAGCACGTTTTTATTCATGGCCCTTGGAATGATTGACCCTCCAAAGGCCCCAGCTGGGACCCCCTGCCCTGTTGCCATAGATACTCTTATGTAACTCAGCAACCCTGAATCAGCAAGGCTGAAGCTCTTTAATGTTGAGATCAATAACTGTTGTGTTCATGCAGGGGTCCATTAAAACAGCTTTCTTACTCTAGCAGCTTGGTCATGACTATGCAACATTTACCATGACAAAACAAATAAACACTATCCATTAAAGTATCCCCCTCAAAGGGGGGCGATCGTTTTGGAACTTCAATATTTTACTCTTTCGCATGCCATCATTTTCATTTTCCTGAATTTTCTTGCGCACCAGTTTTCACAATATGCCATGGCAATCAATAATAGTTATTATTAACAGCACAGGGCGAATATGGACATAGAAACCCTGTGAAGACCACAAGGGGGCTGCAATTAACCAACATTCATGTCTTGAAACTGTTTGTCATAAGATTTCCAAGAGCATTAGGTCTAATTGTGACGTCGGGTAAGGCAGGAGCAGGACTCAACCGCAGATTTCCAAATAATAAAGACTTTATTCCAGAATCAAAAAATTGCCTAGGGGCAAAACTGGTCCAGGTGACACAGGTGAAAACAATCAGGGACACGACACGGCTGGGCAGGAAGTGAAGCTAAACCAGGGACACGAGCGGCAGGAAACTACAAAATAAAACCGGAAACAAACCCAAACCGTGACAGTAATATGTGTTAATTAATTGTTGTTAATTGTCATATGTGTATTGATAAAAGTACGTTGTGACTATATTATTGTTTGTGTCAAAAGCATCTTGGCCTTATGTAGTCGTAATGTTAGCCCGAGATGATGTTCAATTGCTTAGTTTTAAGTAAACAATATTCGTTTTTATATTTCATTAATTGTCCTTCACATACAGACATGAACATGCTAAAAAAGAGTGGTATTAATCTATGATTTTCTTTTTAAATCAGACTCCATGCTTTTAGTTAACCATAACGTGATCTCTCTCCTTGTCGAAAGAAATATGTAGTGTTATTTACTATATAAACACTAAAGTAAAATTCTTTTCATACGACTTTGGAAGTTCTTTTTCTAACTTCGTTCGGTGTTTCACTGTGGGAATCGCTCACCACGTCTGTCAGTGACAGACAGGTCGTACTGTACTGTGGCCCCGCCCCCTCATGTTACCACAATCGACCGCCCCTCGCAAATCATTCTCGTTTTCTTACCGTGAAGAATATAGCTCCCTCAGCTTAACAGTTCACAGACGACCCATTAAGGACACGTCGCGCCGGAGTCCCTGGGATAGTCATTGCCGGGCTAAATTATTTTTGGCTTCGGGAACTTCATGCAAACCCTGGACACGTTTTTATGGGATATAAAATCCAAAGCTCACCAGCAGGGATGATCCCAATGCGTAGACCACACGGCAGCAGTTTGACATCCTGTTGGTTCTGGTCCACGCCGTTGTCGGTTTGGATCCTGGTGACCAGGCCGTGCAGGATCTCACTGAACATCCCATCTCCCCCCACACACACGATCCTGGACAAGGCATATGAATAATGTACAGTACACGAGTTTCGCATCTGTTGAACTTCAGGTGGTTCAACAAATAACAAGTGGCTTAGGTGGATGTGAAAGCGTTTCATTACATGTGCGGATTCATGAAGACAATTACATACAGCCACAAGACCTTGACGACATTCGCTAAATGGTATCACCCTGTGCCTCCCAGGATGACTCTTTTGTAAAATCCATTCAAAGAATTGCAGAAATGGACTTTTGAATTATATAAACTCCAGAGGAAAAGCATAATGGACTTCAACCATGATTTTCTGGATGGAATATCTGATGAATAGAGGCTGGAGAGTCATGACCTGTATGTTGGGCTTTAAACTGCATTTGAGTCTTTGTCCGCGGTAGCGAGTTGCATTATGAACTGTTGAAAACATAAAGCTATGTGACTGTTTTGTACATTGATTGTATTACCATTAGTTATTGGAAGTGGTTTTGGACAAGATAATGCCACCTGAGATCATTAGAAATACACTGTTTGCTCAGAGCATTAATATTGCATCAAATAGCTATTTGTTATGTGAAAATACAGTGGACTAATGGTTACAAAAGCAGATAATGAAGTCTTCATTTGTGATTGTGTGCGTGTGTGTGTGTGTGTTTGTGTGTGTATGTTTGAGTGCGCGTGTGTGAGAAGTGAACACGTGAGAAACAATTTGTGAATACAATTTAACATAACACAGGTTATTGCACAACGTGGCCTCATAACAAACTCCTAATGTGCAATCATTGATGCACAGCTCTTGGGGGAGTCTCTCCAAAGTCTATCCGACAACGTCAACAGAATAAACTTGTGTCACAGTGAAGAAGAGCGAGCACTGAACGCCTGAAAGCTTCAGCTACCTGGCTTGAGCACTCACCCGTCATATTTGTCAAGATTGGCCTCTGTGTTCAAGTGGTCCCTGGCATGATTGACCCGCTCTGTAACTATGGGAACAAATCAAATAGTGAGTTTTAATGCAATGTCAATTCAAGGGAATGTACTGACAAAACAATTGACTCTTTGCAGGCGGACTAGCACTAGCATTTTGAAGAACGAGACAAGGAAAAGTTCGGCAGACTCCGTGGAACATGGCGTGTTCATTAATGCTCAGAGAGAGGAAAAGGCACCTTGGCACATGACAACCTATTTCCGCTTTTGTATATATTGGTCTGCATAATGAGCACTAGACCCTAGTATCACTAGAATCCTGAAGCTGCAGGATGCCCAGAGTGAATAGCATTCACACAGATGCACCATCAATACCGCAGGCGATGTGTAGCAGTTGCAAACACTTATTGAATAATATATGTGTTTTGGATACCCAAGCTTATCCACTATCACAGCTTCGATTAAGGTGGTGGTGAGATTAATGATGCCATCAGCCAAATCATATCCTTGCAAGGCTCTTCGGCCCCTTTGGAGAGGCCACATCGGCAGTGGAGATCTATACAGCGGCCAGCGAGACTCGTTTTTTATTTAAATGTTGAGGAAAGCCACTGAGGGGGACACACCGATCACGTCAGCTGAGATACAGGCGCGGCTAAACAGTGGAGCCACCTTCCGCTCGTAAATGCGCTTCCCGCGCTGCTTTCCCGCGCAGGGATTGATGTACACCAGGAGGCTCTTAGGTCGGTCGGCTGCAAAGAGAGGGAGAGGTGTGAGATAGTCATTGAAAAGTTTTTTTTTTCTTTTGTCTACAACTGTGTCGCTGACAAGCAGCTTGATGACGTTTTCATTAAGCAGAGACTTTTTGCGAAACGCTCACTCAAAGTGACTGGTTGCCAAAACACGCCTCTGAAGAAATAAATGGTGTTTCTACGGACTATGGGAGGAGTGTGAAGCAATTCAAAGGCGCTGCATCATTCGGTGATAAAGCCACAGAGTGCTGCGGTGGAGAATACTAAATGGCTTGTTTATGGCTGTTGTGTAAGACTGCGTTTAGGACAACAAACTGAGATACAGCAGCTGCTCCAGTTGGAAATTAATGGATTGCGATCGGGAGTTAAATAAGCACAATGAAAAATAGGGGGGTATATTTGTTTGGCAATAAGACAAAAGTTTCCATTAGATCACATGAATGAATTGTCAATGGGGAATGTAAAGGTGTACTGTGGAGGAGACTAACCCTCTTGAACACACAAGAGCTTCATCTTCACAATGAATGTAGTTAATCTTCTAGAATTGATTCATCCTGCCAAGTGGAGCCGACTAGGCCATTTCAAATGTGCTAAACCCATCTTACACTTTGATTTTCACATGCTGGTTACACACTAAATCCTGAAGATCTCAAACGTGGAATTACTTTGCGATCACTTTATAAGCGTAAAGCGTTATATTTTGCACTTAACCAGGTCAAACAAGTAATAAAGCTCAATGTGTAGTGACTGATGGTGGAATAATAACCTTTATATGGTCATGTAATATGTTAATTCATCATTGGAAAACCTATTCCACATGATGTCAAGATTTTGATGGATGACGTGCCGTTATGTACATTTTCATGAGTCATGAGTTTCCTATTTAAATAAATAAAAAGCATGTTGAAAGGTAGGACACAGAAATGAAGATTCCATAGAGCACATCTGGATATTAGGCTGGATGCAAACAATAATAATTGCATTTTCAGTATGCTCCTTAATGTTTGTTAAAGCACCATTTGTATGTTTCATCAGACTATTGGGTTTTGCTTGCTCCATCCTTTAAGTCTGTACCTGTGAGGTACAATCTATAAGAGGAGGTTTTTCTTTTTTTAATAATAGACAATGATGCACACTTACAGTCTGCTTTACACGTAGAAAAGCTCATAGAAACATGTCTTGTTTTGAACGCTTTAATGATCTACTGTTTCCTCCTAAATAGAAATAGGAACTCAATATGCACTGTGGAATGATAACCTAATATTTATTGTAAGAGTTGCCGGGTCTTTGTGATATAAATGTGTAAAGGCATTGTCCTTTCCCTTTTGTTTGCCTCAAACACCATCAATATTCCTCGCAATAAAAGCATCCTTTGAAGAATCTCGGTGCTTCAAACGTTTTCCTCAAGCGTTACAGTGACTTATCTAATATACTGTAAAGTGGTGTTCCAATGAAGCAGTCCACAAACCACTCCAAAAAAAAAAAAGACTGAATTGGATATCCCCTTGTGCCCGTTGCTGACAGCTATTGAAATTGCTTGAGAGATAAAAAGCCTGATCTTCATGGATGACTCGCTTCCTCCCTGCAGAATAAACTGTGATGCAGTTCATCTTATGGTCCAATCTTAATGTTGTTTCAGACAAAGGACAGATTGTCATAAACATAGCACGGAAATTCAGAAAAACTGAATTTATGGGTTCTTTTAAATGTTTGCGTGTCCTTCCGGGTCATCTGTGTGAGAGACAAAATAGCCAGAAATATCTTTTCCAAGTCATGTCATATCTCCAGCTCCAGCTTCGGGGAGCCTGCTGCCAAAGACTAGGATAACCTCTTATCAATGACAGCTGGCAGTAAAATCACATTTAGGGTAGAGTTGATGTATCGTGTACTTAACCAAACACTCTGGTTAGGTTTTTGTTGTGTTGAGTGGACATAAAAACTAGATACAATAAGAATTCCCATTGGACGTTTTTGCATCAAACTCTTGAGAAACGTCTTTTAGTGGTATCTAATTGAAAATGTGGACTCCAGTGATGCTGAAAGATTTTTTAGGGTTGGACCAAACAGTACTAGTCAACTAGCTCCCAAAAACTGTGACTTTCACACAAAGTAGTGTGCTACTTACTAGACTCTTCCTGCTGCCACATTAACCCTTTGGCTCTGTGTGGAGCGGCTCAATGATTTGAGATCTCCACTTTGATTTATCCTCATGCTCAACAAGCCAGATAGCAATGCGTGGAATTTTTATGCCACACTGTCATTGAACCAATTCTGATTATGTTGGAAACCTCTGAGTAAGTTCAAGGTAAATCACCACTTCGATTAGGGAACATCATTAAATAGTACATACTGAGTAATGATAACTGCTCATTGATAACTTGGATCCACTGGTCGCAGAGCCCCTCGTTAGCAGAGTGGAATGTGACATCTCTGCACCGCCACTGGTGCTGCCGCCTTCTTCTGATGTAGGAAACTGAAGAGGAACAAAACAGAAGGAACAAAGTGTTTGCTGCATTATGCTTGTTTATATTTACCAAAGCTTTTTTAGCAGTAATGGTCAACCTTCTAGGTCAAGGCACACAGGAATTTGCAGCAATCCAACCCTTAATAAACCGACACCTGGTCGTCAGGCCGCAAATGGTAAAAGAGCTGAAAAAGAAATCATTAAATCAAGAGAATCTGTGCTAAATAAGGTCTTCACTTCCCTCACAAAACCCTTATGTTTCAGACAGGATCTGAGAATGAACCCTGGCTTAATCCATAAGTCAATCATATGTGTGAGTGTGTATAAGGAACAAATAAATGCATATGAGAGTTGATGTAAAACTGGTCTGTGTATCAGCACAGACCAGTTTTACATAACTCTCATATGCATTTATGTATTTATTTGTGCAGAGAAAAAGAAGAGTCATAATAGCAGAATGCTCTGAACAATCCTGAAATATTGACGTTACAGAGAAAAAAGAAGAAAATAAAATCCCTCACTAAGCACTTTGACAGCAGAATTCACTCACTAAGCACTCCACAGTGAAATGATCACACTAAGCATTCTTTTCATCAGATAGGAAAGTTAACTTTTCAGGCAAGCACGGTACCTCGTGCTTGTGGTGACATTCAGGGGTGTGTGTCTAAAAAAAATCATCCTCTAATAAGTTACATAGTCAGGTGAAAGCTGACGGGAATGCGTCTTTGAAGCCAAGCTCCCAAAGGTCGTGGGAATGCAGTTGTGTCTGGCTCGACGCACTCTAATGCCAGTAAAAGCTCACATTAGCGCGGTAATTTTTAACATTTGGCTGTGATAAATAATGTAAATCCGATCTTGTTTGGATTTAATTGAATGACTCTAAATCAAGCATTAGCCCATAAGTCACTGGCAGGCTGCCATCTTCGACCCAGCCGGCTGAGCTGTGAGGGACTCTCTTGTTAATGCATTACATTCAGACTGCGGAGCTGTCTACAGGCTTATTTCCAGTGTCAGATCACTTATGATTGGTGGAGCTGAACTCAAGCTTCTGGCCCACTTGCTCAAAATGTGACTGTGATGTGGCATTGAGCTATTCTACTAAAATGAAAGTGACAGGGATCAAAAACTCTCTTCGGGCGACCTTTGTTGGACGGAACAAAGAACGTACTGTATTTCTTCCAGCAGCGGCCCAGCTAATGGCTTTTATTTCATACACCCCCCCCTCCTCCGTAATAAAAGCAGTGCATTCTAGACTTCGCAAAACATAATCCAAACGTTTTTTTTCAGAAGGTGATTAATGTACTCGCCAAATGAACTGCCTTGACTCGACGGTTGCATTGGTGGAGTAATGTCCCTTCGAGTGTGAATATCAGTGTAGGATTTGTACCTGTGAAAGCAAAGGGGTACAGGGGGGAGTGGTGCTTTGCCTTTTTCGGACTCCTCCCGGTCTCGGCGTAGTCTTCGTCAGCGTTTTTGGTCTTTAGGACAGCCACTATTTCACCCACCTGAACAGCATGGCTGGAGGCTGGAGAAGCATGCATACATTAGTATTTTACTCAACTGCATTACAAAACAATAATCAGCACTGTTAGTCTGTACAATACATTCTCACAGGTTGTATACGACAAACCAAAGCAATCATGGAAGTGACTAGAAGACGTATTGTATTGCCAGACATCATTGATACTTTTTGTAAAGAGCATAAAAGCTGCAAAAATCCATTTTGCATAGCAATGGATCACATTACCATGGGTAAAGGGTTACTTAAAGAAACAAAACCCCTAAGTACCACCACCTCATTCATTCCAGATTATTGTTTTAATGGCCCAGAACCTTTTTTTAATTGTCTCTCGAACTGATCAGCCTCATTTCCAGATGTACCAGGTGTTGGGGGACACTAGGCAACTGTTTTATTGGAAAGGCTCACATACAAGCTTGCTATATGCTTCCTACCAGGAACCAATTGGCCGACAAAGTTAGCGACTGCTTGAGGAATTGAACATTTAGCAGCTTAAGAGCTGTAGACAAAAAGGTAGACTGTTGGGACTAACATTCATCAAATGAATGCAAATAATGCTGCATGTGTGAATGTGCAAACGTTTGCTAACAAACAAGGACATTAGGTTTAATTAAGTTTAGTTTTCCCATTTAGAATGAAGACAGCTTCATCCACAACTTGTGACCTAAGAATGGCTTAGCTTTAGTTTTCACAAAAGCAGTAACAGCCATATCCCGAGAGAGCTGGTGTGTGTTTGGGAACAAACTGCGTCTTCTTGTTCCATTTTCTCCCCCACAGGGAGCAGGATTCAGTCTGCTAGTTTAGAAGGATCTGGGATGAAAGACTTTGGCAGTGTTTGAATGGTTTACAGAATTAGTGGTGTATGGCGGGATCTGGTACAGCCTCGGCAGTGGAGAGATGGGAGGGGTTCAGTTGCCTTAAAGGGCTGCTGAGTCACATCAAATGATTTAAGGGGTATTAAAAAAAGGCAGAGATTAGGAAAACAAAGGGAGTTACTGGTACCATGCTGGTAAGTAAGGACAAGATGGTCCGAGTATGAAACAGATTGGACAGCAGAGGGGGAATTTAGATGAAAGAATTATGTATGATTTTTTTTGTGAACCATTTCTATATTTTAAGAAGATTTAATGTATGAAATTGAGTGTTCAAGTACAAATGATTGCTGCGCTCCTAACGGAACAACTTCAGAAATGCACTTTTGTGCTCAGAAGGAGCATTATTCCTTGCAATGACTTTAACTGACCTCTTCAACGGCATCACATTCAGGCATTCCAGTCTCTCCTACAAATGTATTCAGCCGATATGGTGAAATGGATCGGAGGGAGGCACAACATGTTATTTCTCTCCCAGGACTCTGAGGAAATGGGATTTCATTTCTTTCTCAAATAAAGATGATGCGCCATGTCGGCATGAATACTTTTATAGCTATCGATATTCACACTTTGACAGAAAGAGATATGGCCATGTTTATAACAGCTTTATTTTGGTAAAATAAATAAATAACCAGGAGTTTCATTCCAGTCATTTGAAATATGGCCCCTAAATGTTCTGCCAATGAGATTTTTTGGTGTTGACTTTACATATATAACCGAATACAGAAAGTTACTGGCTTACACATTCATACATGTTTAAGCGCGTACCATTTATTCACACCTGTGGCTGCAGGTCAGGAAAAAGATGTGTAATCGTGCCTTAAAGTCTTTTCTTGCGTACTATTTTCTTCTCAAGCAAAGAAGCCAGGTTTTTCATATTGAGAAAAGTCAACCAAAAACATGAGCTGCAGCCTCAAATGACTGCTTTGGGCTGTCGGTGCTCATTCTTTTTTGTTGTTTTTGTTGTTAATTCTGTTTTCTGCTGGGATTCTTGAAGCTCTTTTACCAGAGACGAGCTCATGAACATCCGTTTAACAACTCCAGGACACTTCTCTGCTGACTTCGGTGGAATTACTTGACATCTTGGTGAAAGGTGCGCTCACTTTTACTCGCGCAGTGGAAATCCGGAGAGAAAAATGGGCCGAGGCAAACATGGTTCTCGCACACCTCTGCCAGGCATGTTTATTGCCAATGTGAGCTCACTGTCTAACAAACTGAACAAAACTCCAGCTGCTGGCGGGGAGAGACAGAGCGTTTTTGTCGTCCTCCGTTTTGTGCTTCACGGAGACAAAGCTAATGGTTTTTATTTCAAAAGCTATTATTATTATTCACTTTTGTTAGAAAGGAGGTATTCACCACCCACTATGACAATTTCCAAAGTCCAATAAATGTTCCTGATTCTGAGTGTAATAGTGAGTCAGCATAACTGGTGCAAGAACCCTGAAGCCAAAGTCTAACTGGAAGGCAACCATATGCGTTTAATTATTTACACTTGTGCTTTTCCTAACATGACATCTGTGGAAAAACGGCTCATTATTGACAATGACATTTAGGATACAGTCTATGCATTCAGGTCAGTGTGTCACACTTTAAGGAGTATATTATACAAACAGATCATTTTTTGAGCAGCTGATCTAAACCGTCCATCTGAAAACGTGCATGAGAATGTGAGAAAAAAACTTTTTTTACTCCTGTTGAGCAACATGTTAGACTGGTTAATCACTCCGTTGTCTTGAGGAAATAGATTAGGCGTATCGAGGATGATGCAAACGTACGCAAAATCTTTGGTAATATGTTGCATGTGTGGTTGGAAGGAAGCCAAGATTACACCACTGTATTAGATATAGAGGAGAGAATTCAACACAAAATCTTGCATTTACGGTTTGTTACATATTCTAAGACCCCCCTAGTACCCGATTTGTGCAAAAAAATTCATGGGAAAACATAGGAATATCTTATCTCCAGTTTTACACATTTACATGTTTGTTATGATACGCTTCCTGGCTTACGGTGAAATCCGAAAAGATGAAAAATGTATGAAATCCTTTCTCTGTGTTAGCCTAGTGGGCAAATCATCTGTCCAAGACAAAAAGCCGACATTAATCACCGAGTCAGTGCAGGCGACATTTCTCTCCCTCACTCGTCAGGCCAGTCTTTTGAATGAGTCAAATTAAACCAACAAACGAGCAGAAAGCCCAAAAAACAAAGCAAACCGTGTTAGGGAAGGAACTGGAAATCAACTCGTGACATTCCAACATTCCATCACTGCTCCAATAGCACTGCCACACACACACACACACACACACACACACACACACACACACACACACACACACACACACACACACACACACACACACACACACACACACACACACACTGGAGGCATAACCACGCACACACTCAACTACACTATAATGCCCCCACCACCACACACACAGAAGACATAGCCACACGCACACCCACCCACGCACCTATTCCCTACTTTCTCTAGCTCAGTGCAGTCGCTAAGCTACATGCTAAGCACTCGGCCATACGAGGCAGAGGCTCACTGCTATGACATACTTTTCTTTGTGCTTGTAAAGAATCTGAGCATAGGCAGTCAGAAGGTAAGTGCTGCCTATTCATACCACAGGGCTGCGTTAATGTCAGCTGAGGGCCTTGACTACCTGCGAGGGTTTATTTTCTAACGCCTGGAACTTGTTTTGCATTTGGAAGGAAGCTTTCAAATGTTTTGTCTCTGCAAAGCTAAGATGATACCTATGGGGGAAAAAGTTGTGGCAGCCAAGCCGCTGCTTCAATCCTTCTTCAGCTACCAAATAAGATTGTTGCTGGATGCAAGAGGACGAGGCCTAACATCTCCAAGAAAAACAAACCTCAAGAAAGTCATGTCACAAGCAGGCCCATGCAATTATATTTCGCTTGAAATGAAAACACAGACATTTTTAATGTAATTTCTACAATATTCAGAGGAAGTAGTGATTAAATGACTCTGGCCTGGAGTGTGACGCTTTGTGTTCCTCCCAATTCCCACTCAGAGAATACAGTAAACACTTGAGGCTGCCACACAATATTGATATCCAATGTTTTTGTATAAAGTTGTAGATTTTTAGCTAAGTGGGTCATGAAAAGAATAACTAACTCTTTTTGACTTGCAAAAAGTATTTGGTAAAGAAGTAGGGTGCAGATCATTTACAAGATTCGTGGTTATGATTTAAAATACAGTACTTACTGCTTAGGCCCAATAAGTACTGCATTAATATTGGCTTGAATCTAACTGAAGGATTGAGTTGATTAACTGATAACAGCAGGACAATTACATTACTTTTGCTGTGCGCAGAAATCCAACAATTGTTTTTCATGAAAACATCAACAGCAGCAGCAGCAGTGTCGTCAAACAACTTGTGAAGTTTCAGCTCAGGCTTCAGGTGCCCCACATGAGGTTTTAGTTGACCGACATGGATATCGGGCCATGTTCAAAGAAGTTATCACATGGGATCCGCTGAGAACAAGGAGCACCCGTGAGAACAACCCCTGGCATGTTACCGATGTGCAGCCTCAGGAAATGGACCCCAAATTCTGGTAATGGCCGTGTGTTGCTTTGCCGATATCATGAATGTTATTCCCAACTCGTACATCGTTAGTGACTTTTTTTAAGGAACTAAATCCTCAGGACCCGCTGATTCTTAGACAATCTGTGAATTTGTATTTTAAATGACTGTATGCATCAGTGGCGCCAAAGCCTTTAGACTTGATTTTTTTAAATGATGCTCATCACAGGTGGCATATTTTTTATCAGTTTAACCAGGCATTCATTACTCCCTCGGACAACCCTGGTAAATTGCCAAAATATAACAATTTTTAAGAAGGACATGGACAGGAGAAGGCGAAGAGATGAAAATCAGGGACGTGGCCTTTAAACTACCGGGACGGCTAAAAATCTGTTCTTGGGAACAATTATATCCTAAAGATACAAAATAAAGGATCTCACAAGGTTAAGGTGATGGTGCTTTGGGTGTCAGTTTAATGCAGCTCTTTGATTGCAGCGATTCCATTGAAATAAATTGTCCCCTTCAGGATGCCGGTGCATCCTGGGCCTTTGATGGGTTTCAAGCAGGAAGCAGCTCTGCCCAGGCGGGTTAGTATTTTTCCCTTGTGACGACTGAAGAGGGACCTTAACGTACTTTAGTAGCAGCAAGTTTAGACTAAATTGGTTTAAATTTCAGTACTTTTATAGTAGATTAAGTACCTGTGCTGTGGTACTTCAGTGGACCATGAACCCGCCCCTCTTGCAATCCAAAGACCGTGTGGCATCTCACTGAAAACGTGGGTTGAAAAGTCTCCAGACATTCTCCAATCGGGCAAAAATGAGTATTTGATATAATTGGCGATGATATTTCAAGCGGTTATCTCAACGCGAGACATCCCATGTGTGTGTGTGAACAAGAGATTTTGTGTATATGATATCTGTGCCAACCCAGAGCCTGGCCTCACCTTCTCTTTGTTCTCAGACAACAACAAGCTGTCATCATATTCATATTCTCCTGTTGTTCCCTGCACCCCTCCCTCTACACAGTGGATCAGTTTGTAATCCCTTTATTGTTACTGAGGTTTTGGCACTGAAAATGTGCAAGTGCAAGCTTAAGGAAAGGGTTGCATTTGCAGGTGTCCCCACACTATTCATGGAGCTGCTCTACCGTTCCTGCTTTGCTCGTACATTGCATTTCCGAGATTTCCATTTTGCCGGGTGATAAAACCTAATAATTTAGCTTAATTTTGGCGCCATGCTACATATTAGATACAGGTGCACTGCAATATACACCAAAAAAATGAGTTTATGTCCTTAGGTGGATGTCCTACCAGGGAGACGATAGCACTTTGTCACTGAATCAGACCCTCGCGTCCTTTTCCAGGTCATTCACTGTTGTGTAATTAGCTTTAGAGGTCCTCCTGTTTGCTCCCACAGACGCAAGCAGCAGGTAAATAAACACAAATCGATGTAATAAAGGGGCCTGTATGGCGGGCCAGCCACGCAGTACACACCGTAATACAGTTTACCCGACCTCCAGCTGTTGTTCTCTGGCTCTGTTTATTTCTCGGCGTCTCGCTAACCCCCCTCTGCTGCCGTCTCCCAGCATACAGACAGGTCTGTGCATTGGGCGCCCCCGCTTTAGATTACAAAGCACAGATCTGCCTGGGTACACATGGCAGTGAGCTGTCAAACAAGACATGTGGATTTCTCCCAGGCACACTGGGTTTGTCGAGTCAGGGCTTAGGCAAACAGATGGAGAAGGAAGACCAGCGAAGGTGGAAGATATAACACCAGAACTGTCAATGGGGATGCAGCGGGGCTGCTAGATCGCTACATGTGCCAAAAGGAGGTCAACAATACATGATGCAAAATTAATTTTCATTTGCTTTGTTTAGATCATTGTTGATGGTCCTCGTTAGTCCACCATGCAAATAGTCCAGAAATGGCCATACAATGTATTACAGAGGGTTGTGTTCCTTAAGAGGATGAAGCCCGATTACTGACTTCACCCGCAGTGCCAGAGCGAGGTTGAGAGCATGACGGCTGACGATAGTGTTGATCTTCTTGCAGCTCACTTATCCAGTCAAATAGTTCCACATCAACTGGATGTATTGGCCCAATATTATGTACACACATTCATGTGCATCCACTTATACAAAATAGCAAGTGCAGACTCACACAGACGAAGACACAGTGCTTGTAGCATGGTTCGAGCCTTATTTCTCCTTCTTTCATATCTTTTGAGACTTATTGTAGTTCTATGAGTTAATGATGCACAAAATCCCGCAGATTTGTTTTTCTTCTTTACTTGTTATATGTGGGACAGGGTTACATATTTAGGATTTGTTATGTTAGAGGAAATTCTGTGAAGCGGATACCCTATTTAGCCCTGAATTCCAAACGTCCTGTATTGCTGCACGTGAATCCCTGACACCTTAGTTCACTATCCAGCTCTGCAATATGGAAAAGGAAATATCTACCCCCCCTGGCCATGAGCGATATCCAGGCTTAGAGGCCTCGAGGAAGTATTACTCGAATGGTGATTTGTCGGAAAGGGGAGATGCTCTCCAAAGCATTTGGCATAATTTAAAGAGGATTTTTCTCCAAAATGGGAGCATGCATTTTATAATAATAGTGACTCTGGGATTATGTTTATGTAGGATTTACTCCGAGTTCCGTGGCTATCTCAGTGAATGGATTCGGTTCTGTGTGTATCTTTGTGTGAGCTCTACTCAGCACATCAGACTTGACTGACGCTCATGATTCGACCAAATCCACTGAAGTGTTAAGAGGTAATATCCGCTAATGTTGTCTAAACCAAAGCATTAGGACCAGAGTGGTGTTTACCGCTCGTATCAGTCCCTCTTGGCATTCATGGCACTTGTGTGTCAGTTGGATGTTCGGTGGGAAATTGTCATTTTTGGGAAGAAAAATATGAGCCGAAGAAGACCTGTCAAATTTGAGTCACGCTGCAGGAATTTCTGCCATCAAATGGGATTAACTTGTTCTGTCTGTTCTGTCTTCTCAGTGCTGCGGTTGATTCACAGTTTTATCTTGACTTTTAAAATGTTACTTGACAGAAAATGTTAAATCTGTACCAACTAATCTTTTACCAAATATCGTTGCTTTTTTCGTTCTTTTCTGCTTTTTTTTCTGTTTCAAACCACCTATAATGTAAATGTATAGTGTATGTGACAAAAATGATCTAACCTTCTCTTTAATAACTATTCTTTCGAGTTATTTCGGCTGTCGAGGCCGCTGATAAAGGGCTGCTTTCCTAAAAACAACATCCCGGCCAACTCCAGAATAAGCTGTTGTGTCGCAGTGATCACAGGGGGAGATTTTGGTGAAGTCGTGTTGAACATTGACTCAATAAATGGAGGTCTTTATGGCAGGTTATTATAGGGCGCTTGATACCACTTTGAGGAAGGTCAATGACCAGGTTTACACTGGAGTGCGCAGTGCCAGCTGTAATAACTCCACTCAATGTGGAACAGTAATTGCAGACCGGGGGAACTCATCTAGATGAACAAACATTAGCCTCAGGAGGTTATGAGAACGTCAGGATTAAATGAAAGTTGTCTGATGCAAAAGACAGAAAGTCATCTACAAATTCAATTTGTCATCAGTGGAGCAGCGCCAGACTTTACGCTCACAAAATAGAGTTTGAGTGCTCTGGTTGTTGGATTTGGTGCAAACTAACAACAAATAATTGTTTCATTTTTTCATTTCTTTGCCTAAATGACTCAAATGTCTCGACAAAAGAAAATTCCTCCACATGCTGCAAGCTTTACAGCTGTGAACAAAGGCCATGTTCATTGTTTACATCGTAATAACATGACTTTAAAAAAAGCTCTCTTCTAGCGTTTGCTGGAAATCAACAAGACCCCCCTCATAATTATCTCCATCTGACAACCCACGTGTGTGACCTGCTCTTGTCGGGATACGGACCCCATCGACTGTCACAACATGACCCGACTGGTTGCCCCCTCAACATGTGCATGATGCTGATGAGGAGCTCAGTGACCTTTTTTTGCATGGGTGACATGGAAGTGAGATAATGTATTGTAGGGAAATAAAGGCTCGTAATAAAAGACTAAACAACATTGGTAATTTCCTTGGCTGTTTATGACCTTTTGTGTTTTGTCATTTTCATATTTTGTTTCAATATTTATTATTCAAAATCTTCAACAGTGTAGCCGTTCGGTACCTACTATTTTTCTCCTTTTTTAAAAATCTGAAACCAACAGTCAAACTCAATTATTTCGTGTTGGACTTACCTGTTTTAGGGCCGTTGTTGAGGAAACCACAGCTGCGTCTTGCGCTCCTCTCGATTTCCCTCCACGCCAAGACACCGCAGGTTAGAGCAACTTCCACCTGCCTGCGCTTGTGAACGAGCTGCGAAGACAGTAATCGGGCTTGTTGATCCATAACGTCGTTCGGGCTTCCCGTTAGTTGCGCTGCCGTCGGTTGATCGTCATCACGGCCCACACGTCACCCTCCGCGCGGCGTCTGGAGCGCGCTGAGCCGGCGTTGGCCTCGCGCTGCTGCCGGGAGGAAAAAGGGGATTTATAACAAAGATCGTATGGGAGAAAGATGAGTCACTCTTGCGTGAGAAAGGAAACTGGCCTTTTTTTACCCACATGCCACGTTGCTGTCTTGCAACAATAATACCCCAGGGATAAGATAATACATTACATAACCTGCCTCAGGTAATTATAAATGGATTTGAGTATGGTGTCTTGAACTAGGTAAACTCCAACTCCAACCAATAAGTATATGTTTCATAAAACACAACACAGTTGTTTAAAAGTCGATTCATTGATCAGCAGTGTTTGTTTGCTTTGTAGTGAAACTTGGGCCCCGTCACAACCACATTACACAAATGTTTGTAATTTAAAGAATCTTTTAGGTATGCCAACTTCAATAACTTTTACATGAACACCAACACACCAACAGCAAGCATGAATACAGAGTCATGACCGAACATGGAGAAGCACCGTTGAGTTATTCAGCTGAATATTTTAACATTTGAACGGTTTTAATAGCTGAAAGAGTGAAGGAGTTGAAAGGTGCCACGGAAGAATAAGTTAAAATAAAGATTCGAAGAACAATACTTGGATTGCTAAATGCATTCCAACAATAAAGCAACAAGGTACGAGAGGCTGTACTTTATCGTCCAATAATGTAACGGTTCGGGGGCGTTGTTAGGCCCGACGCACAGCGGAGGCCCGGCAACCCTCGAACAGTTAACTATTAAAGATAAAGTACTGCCTCAAGTACCTTATTGCTTTTTACAATACGGTTACCAGCGAAATTATAAATAGTAAGTAAATAGCTGCCTTTCAGCACAAAATAGTATTAGCCACCAAACGTTATATCGCATCTCGGTAGTCTAGAGAAAAAATAGTCCCCGTACATGCAAACAGCATCGCCTCCCGCACCATACGGACCTCATTCATTCACATCGCTGATGAAGTCCACCTTAATGGTCCGGTTGCGGAAGCTCGTATTGCCTGGAACCGAACATTTGTGGGATTTCCGGGTCTAGTTTCGGCGATGGCCACCAACGGTCGCGCAAAATCTAACCTGTTACTTTGAGTGCGCAGTGATACGGAACGCTCGGGTCAATGTGGACAGCAACTGTGCATTATCGCTCAATAATGTAACCCTCGTGACTCACTCTCAACCAATCAGAACGCTGGATTTCATCTACCCGTATTATAATCTTTTTTAAGATTGTTTATGATTTATATATCTGTTGTTAATGTATCATTCAATGTTCTTAATTGTTTTCCGTTTTCTTTTCCAACTGGTTGGTTTAAAGGTTTTATGTGAACCACTTTGAATGTGTTGTTGAAATGTGCTACGCAGCTAAACTTGCCTTGCAGGACTGCAAAATAATAAAGGAGGGAGAGCCTGCTGTCTTCCTCAACACCTTGGACCAAATCATCAGTGTGGATCAAGCATCAGTGTGTTCCCTCAACACGCGAGCGCTGTGGTTCATGACTCAAAGCAGAGAGGGGGCCTCCAGCCTAATCTAATAATTTCTGTAAACTCCCGCAACCTTTAGACAATTTAACACCAGCATTTACCAAAATGATGACTTAACCGTGTTCATGTGGGTATGATCTCCACAATATGTTAAGAGTGGGGACTAATAGGGGGAATACAAAGGGAATACAAAGACGTGCTGTCTAGGTGCATATTTAACTTCCAATATTTAATTGACTGTGCATTTTAATGTTTCGGCCAAATGTGACCCCTTCATACACTTGTCCCAAGATGAATCATAGTGTGGGTAAAAACGTTAACATTAATTGTCCTCATTCATAATGAGGCTCACTTTAACCTAATAAATGTGACCTTGTAACAACCCTTCCCGACAAAGAGAGGCAGAGGCACTTCGAGCAGTGCGTGGTGCTGATATTACTTTAAACAGAGTTTCTAGACTGGTGCATAATAAACAAGCTCACTGAAGTACACATATACATGCCTTACATAAGAAACCGATGTAGAAATAGCCATTTTAAATGTTGAGTATTTCTTTTCTCCCTGCTTCTGGTCCTGATGCTGATGGTCCCTTTTTTGAGTGACACATCGCTTGTAGTTTCCTTCAACAAAGCAAATCCTGAGTGTGACGTCGGTAGCTTGTCGTGCCACCTAACAGCAGATCTCACTTGTGATTGGCTCACATCGAGGAAGTGTCGGTCCAGCCAATCCCATGAGCTTTTGCTTGCCGATTAGGAAGTATCAACATGGCAGCTCTCTGAGTTTTGGAGGAGGCTACATGGTGTAAATAAACACAGATTTCACGTTTTAAAGCTAACGACAGCGGTCGTGTATTTGTGTTTAGGACTGGTTCGACCATATAGGAAAAATGTCGAATGAAGGAAATAAGAAACAATTCTGGAAAAGAAACGCGAAGGTTCCTGGCAGGTGAGTGACGTGTTCCCTCTTGTTGGCTAGCTTAGCGTAGCTAGCCTTACTGAACTGACGCTGCACTGTTGAGCTTGAAACGGAACTTGAATATTCACAAATGGTCCTCTGATATCGCCCAACGTTTTCGACTTAAATCCCCGGTAACGTACTATGGTTCGTGGTAAATTAGTATCTCCAATCGCAGGTTACGCTTTTCTGCTTTCAGTTAGCTGAGTTGCTAACAGCGGCCAACTGTTAACCAATTTACCCTCACCGCTTTCACAGAGTTCTACCTTTGTATATAATCGCATTTCATAATACGAAAGAAGCCATGGTTTTATCCCAAGTCGTTGTTTTCGTCCCAATTCCCGCGAAATTGTAACTTTAACTGGCATTGTTTGGGGAAATAGCTAACGTGGCTAGCTTGACAGCAGGTTATGGATTAGCTCATTCATTTACATTCTCTGTTCTTCACTTCCTCAGCATTCAGCATGTGTACGGCGCACAACATCCGCCTTTCGACCCGCTACTCCATGCTAAGTAAGTTATAAGTACTATGATGTTATTTCAGTCGTTTGCTGGTCGTGGACTTTTGCTTTCTGCCGGTGTTTAAGGTTCCTTTGCTGATGCTCCGCGCTTTCCTCAGTGGCTAAACTACATGATACTTCAGCTGAAGTTTCCACGCGTTTGATCAACAATAGCGGGGTACGAATGACATGAAAGACCAGTTTTTACTAAACGAAACAAAACGGTGTATCTGATCATTATTAGATTAAATGGTTGTTGTTGTTTCTTTACTCAAGAGAAAGACTTCCTGCATGATCAGCAGCAGCTATTACACAACAGATTACACAACACCTTTATTGAACCGTCTGTCCGTTGTTACAATTCAGAGGATCATCTGAACAAGCTATGACTTAATCTTCTTGTTTGAGTTTTTAAAAGTTAATTCCATCCTACCGTTACCAGTAGAGGATGAGTATTTGGTAGGAGACAAGAAAACAGGAGAGACATTTTAAAGGGTAGCTACCCATTCACTCAGAGGAAACAGAAAACTTCTGTTCTGGATGGTCTGTCGATGCTGTGAACGTGTCATGCTTCTAGTCTCATGCAGAGGAGTTTCGGGGTGTTTTCTCTGCTCATTTGACAAATGCACCAGCTGTGAGACCATGCACCAGGATGCGGCTAAAATTACAACGCGCCTAACTGTTTGAAACTGCATACCTCGCGTCTTGTAGTATGATTCCGAAAACCTTCTGTTTGCACTGTATGACTTGTAATGTTCTGCAGTGTCCAAGGAAGTCCAACTTTAAGGTCAAAAAATGCTTTCAGTCAGTTTGTGGTCATGTAACTTTGTGATCATGTTGCATACAAAGTGATAATGTAATCTCAGAATTTAAATCGTATGCCATTGATTTTGATTCAAATAATTAAAGTATAATCCTGGACTTTACAGTACTTGTAATCAATCAATCAGTACACAGATTTTATTCACCCAACAATAGAAAAACACTTATAAATAAAATCCTTTGACTGATTTCTAATCATGCACTTTTCCATAGGGGGGTGGGTCAAATTTTCTTGTTTTTTATCTGTGCATAAGTTGTGATGAAAGTACACTAATATGCACAAGTCTCTCCCTTTATTATTGTAATCCCTGTCTTTGTTAGATATAAGAGCACCTACCCTTCTTCCACCTTCCTCTTTCATCATTGCATGATAAGCAAAGGTTGAGCCTAATTGAAATCTCTTTTTCTGTTCCACTCCTTGTTCCGACTCAATGAAATGATGCCCTTGCATCACAAAGACAGCAACTCTGTTCTTTTGAACATTGGCAAGATTCAGCCCCTTTAGGTCTATAGACCTGATTTCACTGTAATGCTTACATTTTATGGTGTTTGTGTAGACGTGTGTCTCACTCCATTGTGTTTGATCAGTGTTGGTGGGAATTCGTTCCAGGCTATTAAGCTAACCTCAGTGTGTAAAATGTTGTCTAGAAATGATATTTTCTAGACCGATAAATTAATTCATCATTGAGCGTTTTTTTTAAGGGTCTTTCCTCACTTCGCCACTCTGTTCTCTTGCCTCTGTCCTCCAGCCTGATCAAAGCGGGCAACAGGCTTCCTCCAGCCACGCCAGGCAAGCCCAAGAAAGCCACCACCTTCCAGGAGTTTGAGAGCATCACAAGTGACGCCTGGGACGTTGGGGACGATGATGACGAGTTGCTGGCCATGGCTGCTAAGAACCTCAACATTGAGGTTGTCATGGAGACAGCCAATAAGGTGAAGTGTGTTTTTAACAAAATGTATGTTTTTTTTATTTATCCCCAAATCCTTGTTCTAAGGATAGATTACCACCCACTATAGCAACACAATTCATCTTTTTGGCAGTCCATTAGAAAGTGCCCATTGGACAGCTGCCCATTGAACCACTTGATAGACAATGCTTAAGTCTAGTCTCCCTCCGCTTATAGGACTAAATCCCGCAGCTCCCTTTTAATTAATCCCGTTAATCTCAAACTGCTCTCTTTGTTACTAGACAGTTATTAGACAGATTATTGCACACTTTTGTTACCTGTTATGGCATGTTCATGGAGTTGTCCCCCTCATTGTCATCATCATCATAACCTGAACTTCACCACTGCCACACCTTGTCTTCGGTCAACTGAACAGGTCATCGAGAATCACAGCAAGCAGCAGGAGAGACAGAGGCAGGATGAGGCGACAGAGCTGGAACAGACCGAAGAGGACACACAGGAGGAGGTGGCAGAGGGCGAGGACGGTGATGGGGATGAGAAGGAGGACGAAGAAGAAGAAGAAGAAGAGGAGCTGGGCAGGCTGGGGGAAGGAGACGTGACCAGCCCAGAGGTCTCGTTTGCCTCCCAGAGCAGCCCTTACGCTGATGGCCGCCTCGTGAAGTCCAAAAGCGAAGCTCCAATTGGGTCACCTAAAGGTTAGTGAGGGCCATTGCTCAGTGTCCCAAAAGGTTTTCTGGCACATGCTGCCTGCATACTCTTTATCAATATTTAGTTTAAAATACACATATTGCATCGCCCCATGCTGTGGTGAAGCGCTTTTCTTTATTGTGATCCATGAGACATCTGTTTTTTAAATTTTTGTAAAATCTTTACATACAAATAAATGTTATAAATACATGTTTTAAGATGGTCGTAGAAAGAGAAGCTTTCGCTCCAAATTCCTCCCTTTCAGCCTGGGTCCGTTTCCCCTGAACTCCACACCTTCTCTGTGTCATGGTTCCCGTCGGTTTGGCGCCACTTTGTCCAAATGTCAGAGTTCAAGATTTATTTTCACCCAAACCAGGACCGCAGCCGCACTGCATCGCAGTGGCTCAGCATGGTGTGAAACACCGGCGGCAGACACTGCACGCGGTGCTCGCCCGGCTGCCTGCTGTCCCGTTTGCCTGTCTGCCATTGTTCCTGTTGCCGCGTAGCGGTGCAAATAACAGAAGACGCCCTTCTGCCTTCAGGCAATCCTCTTATCTCCTCAGAGAAAACTACACACGGCCTCGCATTCACTCCACGCCTACACGTGGATACAAGGATGCGCGAGAGCACGTAGTGAAAAACACCGGCACTCACATAAAAACCTTCCTCACGCACACACCCGACATACTTGGCAGGTGGGTAAACAACTTGATATGCGCAGTGCCAGTGAGGCCGACTGCTGGTTCGCCGCCTCGTGCTTCTTTGTAGATTTGATTTTGCTTTATTTCGGAGTCTTTTTCTCTTCTCTTGGTGAGTCTATGTCTGTCTGTGTGTGTGTGTGTGTGTGTGTGTGTGTCCGTGTGTGTGCGTGTGTGAGACAGATGACAGCAAGGAATCGAGTGAACGCTCTTGCTCCCTTCTAATTAGATAGTGGCACGCAGCATAGCTTTCATTACGGAGGCCCGGACTCCCTCCGTATACGTGAACATTACCGAAGCACTGACTGTCCCAGTGGCCTGTCAAAGCAGAGAGTGAGCCACACACACACAAGCGTTTTGTCCTTTCTTCCCTTTAATAACGATGCAGTAAACTGTGACAGATGTGCACATTACTAACTTCCACCATCTTGGCTGGCCTCCTTAAAAGTTAAAATGTATTAAAGGCTTATTGTTGAAACCCCACATAAGGTTTCCACCACAAACAAGCCTTCCACAGGCTTAGATACTCTTTCTTAATTTCTGTAAGTGCAAACAAAGCAGCGGAGAACAGATTTGTAGCTTTTTATTTGTTCCTGTAAAAACTGAAAAGGATATTAAAACCGCTCCAGTTTGCTGTTGAGTGTTGGTGACACTCAATCAGTGTGCGTCGCTGTCTGCTAGAGTGCTGAGGGATGTTGGCAGGGATCTTTATGAACCTTTTGCTTCGTGCACAGTGTGACACCAGGAGCGTTCCCTCTCCACAACGAAGCGCCGACCTTGGCAGCCCGTTCGTAACTTGCACATGTGGTACCAACTGTGTCGTTCTGTCTTTGTTTAGCACATCTGGGGGAACATGTGGCGCACAGCAGACTGAATGAATCTGATTATGTTCACGTTATAAAGCACTTACTATCGAATCTGAAGCTTTTCGCAGTAACCACCGCTGCTGCCGTCCTGGAGGCTGCAAGCATACTAACGCCGGAAGTTGCCGCTCTCAGCTGTTACATCGCAGCTTCTTATCACTGCGGCTGAAATGGAAGCCTGATGCGGGCTGTGAGCTTTTCTCCCTCGGCAGGAAGAGGACAATCACAGTTTTGTACCGCAATACAAAAACCAACCTTCAAATAGAATCGAGGGAAAGCGGATTTTAGAAGGGGGCTCAATAATGTCGGGCCTTCCGTGTCAATTCCTTAGAGTTTTAAAAAAATGTCTTACTATATTCAAATGTCTAGCTGTGTGAGCTGCAGGGGTCTGTTTACTCAGGCGGGAATATGTCAATGATGCTACGAAATGTTTGCACACACATTTATCTCCTCTTTAAAATGCAACTTAATAACTTTTGATGACCCCTTAACATTTCATCTAGCGCAGTGGTTTCCAAAGCGGGAGGCCGCCCTCCCCAGTGCGGCGCTAAACCGCTTCAGTGAATGCTCAGTAAATGGTTTAAAACATTTAAAAATAGTAAAAAAAACAACAACATTTCACGCTTGTTATAGTGTGTGAAAGGTTAGTATGTTGTCAAAAAGTGATCACTGCCTGCCTGTGAGTGCCTGCCTGTGTAACCCCTCCCTCCCTCCTCCCACCAGATGCAGCCGGGGAGCATGCCGGCCTCCACAGGCAGCGGTCCCTGCCCCACCGGCCGCCCGTCATACCGCTTGTGGCTCGCATGGCCGACCAGAACACGTCCGGCACCCCGGCCATGACCGAGAGGGAAGCGTCCCGTCTGGATAAGTTCAAACAGCTGTTGGCCGGCCCCAACACAGAGCTGGGTAAGAGCCATCCCGGACATCTGCACTCCTCTTGTGTGTGTGTCTTCGTCTTCACTCGTCCCAAGTGTTGTTGTTGTCGCCTTACTGTCTTTTTGTTCTGTCTTAGTTTGCTCGCTCTCAGTCTGCCAGCTGTGAAGCGCTTTTAACAATGCTGTGAGGGTGTGTGTGTGTGTGTCATCCAGCCATCTGGCCATGCAGATTACAAGAGAAAAAAAAAAAAATAGCAGCAGCAACAAAGGCAAATGACAGGCCTTTGTTCCGAGCAAACGACAACCCTTTATTGTTTATCCAGCCCCGGACACTTTGTCCCCCCACGCAGCCACCCCGCCTACACGGTGGCCATGAAACCCTCGCAGATCTCCCTTTCTGCCGTGGACTTCCTGTCCCCTGAAACCGACATCGACCTGTTGCGTCAGTCTCGCCGTTCAAGCAGATCCACTAGACGAGAGTTCGTCGGGGGGGGTACGTGGTGAATGTGAAGGACGAGCCTGGGAGCAATTCTTAATTCATTCTGGAATAATATGTGTGGAAAATAATATGCCCGCCGAAAAGCAGTAGGTGCACTGAGCTCAGGTGCTCAGGAGCGTTTACATTGTATTTGTTAAACTAAGGTCGGTTTGACTGAGGTGGTAAATCTAAAACCTAAAATCTTAAGGAACATCAAAGTTACATCCAACATAACACCTATATAGAGAGACCTGCTGCAGTAGTCTGATATCGTCAAACAGTACAGTTTTATTGAGGCAGTCAGTAAAAATTTCACAGAGTTGCTCAAGAAATCTGAAGATGTCGACCGTAAGATGCAGTATCCGTTCAATGATCTGTTCTGTGAACTAAAGTCCATTATGTGACATCATCATTCAATATGTAAACATGATCGCTTGGTTGACTGTGAATTGCTTTGGTCATGCCCTAATGTGTTCATGCGGCACACAAAGCGGCACATTAAGATACTGTAAAGAAGAAGGACGTAAAGGATGAGGTCCTTCAGTAGTGAAGTTGTGTTTATGCAGCATTGTGTGTGTGTGTGTGTCTGACAGAAGGGGAGCATGGAACCCGAGACCAGGCGAGAGAAGTGAAAAAGTGCAATACTCAGCAAGAGAATGGGTTATGTGCCGGTCTAAATATGCAAAATGTACACAAAGAGCGTGTCAGAGATATTTCAGTGCAGAAATGACACAGTTTAAATACCGTTAACTCCAAATCCATCTCAAATCGTGGCCGCAGAAACTAGCAGCATTGATTTGAAACGGGCTATTATTATAAACCAGCCTTTTGTTCACATCCGGTTTCGATAAGAATACGTTAGCATTTATGAGTTGGGATCCATTTCTGCTGCTTGCTGTAAATACGTATTTAACACTTCCTCATCGGTCTCGCATCCAAAGCCACGCTGTGTTTGTTTCAGAGGGCGTCCTGCTCTCTCTACTTTCTGTCTCTCTGCCTCTCGCTCCCCCATGTTATTGTCAGCTGGTCGGTCTAATTTTTTTTGTGTCACTGCCGCATTACTATTCTCTTTTAAGCTATTCTGTTTTATGTTGTCTTGGGTCTGATTTTATTTTGGTCCTGAGTATTGCTGCTCAATATTCATAAACATTGACGGGTTTATTGTTTATTTGCAGAATTCCCTCCAATGATGGGCATTTAAACGCTCAGATATTTTCTTGGTTCATTTCATGGTAATGTTAATGAATATTTGCATCTCCATCGGTAGGTAAAATATACCAGTATGTCAACTTGCATCCACAGATGATATTCTGTCACAGACTGAGGTTGGTTTACACTTTGAATAAAAGTTTGCCAGTTGTAGCACGAGGTGCCTCTGTTTTAGCTGCCACATGTAGATTACTTTGAGCTGTGCAATGCACACACACACACACACACACACACACACACACACACACACACACACACACACACACACACACACACAGTAAGGAGCGTTGGCTAAGATCCTAAAATGTAAATGCTGGATTTGATTAAGTCGGAATGGCCTCAGTCAGCACAGCGCTTCACCTCTACGCGCGATCCTCTTGAAAGTTTCCCCGCAAACAACCCGGTTCACAAGTCGTCAGCGTTAGTCGACACAGGTTGCAGAGTGTGTAGCCTGTACATCGGCAGAGCGCCTCCAGGCGTCAGCCCCCATTAGGGCCTGCCAGGCATCACGAGCCGGCTGTCTAAATTTAGTTTGGACTCTGCGCTATGATTAGATAGCCCAGAACGGGCGAACTACGCGGCATGAAAGATGAACTTCATTCATGGGACATAATTAAGTGTAGTATTGGGGTGTGGGGGTTGAGTGGAGGGGGTTAGGAGAAGATACGATAAGATGAAACTTGAATGAGCCCCGTGGGGAAATTGGGTCATTGCAGCAGCAAAGAATGGGATATGGATGTGAATAATACAAAAAAAGAGATCATCTGAAGGAAGTACTCAACCGTAAAATACTTCTGGGACACAAACAAACATCAGTGTTTGCACATTTATGAGTCATTTCTAGCCCTTGGTTTAGAACATTGGTTTGTTGTTGGTCATGGATACGTCTGATTAGTAATACCGATAAAGCTGCCTCCGCATTTCAACATGCTCCACATTTTTACAGTTTTTACGGAAGAAGATGATGACTAGACGGATGGAACTCTCTGTCCTTAGTGCGGAGGTCACTGTCTGTGACACATACACACTCAACATTGAAATCCCCACTTGTACCAGTTGACGCGGTCAGCGGGGATGACTTTAACATTATAGCTACCTCCACCTGGTTAAAGTTATACGTGAAACTCTTATGGTCTTCCGCTACTTGCACATATGAAACCTTACCTGCAGAACGGTTTGTCAGAAGTAAAGTGGATTCAATTTAGGGGTATAGATGGTGGGAAAAGAGAAACAAAACACGTTTCCAGCTTCTTCTTTTTTCTTTTCCTAATCCGCCTAAGTCGCCGCCATGATCCTCCTTTGCACTCTCGTCTTTAACATCCTTGTCAGTTCCTCTCTCCCTCGCCACTGAGCCTTGCGACAGCTTGTGGTAGCGCTCTGTTTAGCATGTAAGGTCACGCGGAAGGTGATGACCTGTGCGTGTGTGCGTGAGAGTAGGGTGATTGATGTCGGGTTGATTTCGGGCTAATTATTCCTGACGTCCCGCGGCGAGCCTGTCTGTTGAGTGAACCTGGTCACAGAAGCCGGCCAACACTCGGGGAGTAGGGACTTATTTTAAACCGGCGAGCTGTGAGGAAAAAAGAAACCGGTTACACTGGCCCCCCGCCATGTTATATTCAGACAAGTTGGAGAAGCGTGCTTGAATAAATGGCCAATTAATCAACCCAAACCGGGACCACTCGATTGGAAGATAAAACTTGAATGCAAATAGTAACATAATTGATCTGTTTTGGTGGTCATGTGATCCTCTATCATGTCTTAATTGGATTTTGTGAGATGATCCGATATGTATTTTGGTTTTTATTCAGCTGTAACAAAAGGTATTGTTTTTCTCTGTCACCTTTTAAAATTTAAAAAGCCAGTGTCTGTGTTTGTATACAAAGCAATGCTTATTTATCTAGAGATAGTGATTAGTGTTGTGTACTCCCTATAAGCTACTTGCTCTGTGACGGGCTGCACGCTTTTACAGACCTCCTGCACATCTTTTCGTTTTTTAATTGATTATATGACCAAGAGCTGCCATCTGACAGGAAGCAGTTATTGTCAGGTGGCAGAAATACTGCTGTTGCTATGGCAATATTTGGCTCCCCTTCTTCAGCATCCTGGCAGTTTATCCATACTCAATCGTTTACTAACCTTTTTCATTAAGCGCTTTCCTCTTTTGTCTCTCATTCTTCTCTCTATAAAACCAAAAAATGAAGGGCTTTTTTTGCTCTCTGTGTCACACTCCCACAAATGTACATTCCCATTCCGCTCTGGCCCGCTTCTCTCTGCCACCGTTGGCTCGAGCCGCACTCTTGTTTCCCCCACAGCCGCGCAATCCTGTTATACAGCAGCCACCGCGTGACTGGCTTACTATCGGCGCCGCTCTCGCCAAGTTAAAAGCCGCCATCAAAGTGAGAAGTGGTGATGTGATTCAATTTAACTCTGTGCTAAGGCCTCATTTGAAAGCCCAGCCCGTGCGTGAGCATTTCAGGTGTGTGTGTGTGTGTGTCTTGTGTATCATGTGTCTGTGTGGTTGCGTGTGTCTCACAGGCGTGGAGATAACAAAGTGCTGGACCGCATCCGTCAGGTAAATCTCTCTGGGAAAAGGGGCCACTTTACAGAGAAAAGGTTCCCTTGAAAATTCTCAGAAGGTTTTAATCTGAGACATCAACAGCGCCGATTTGACAGACGCTGCCGAGAAGAAGGGTAACGCACTGCGGGGTGTTTTCTGAGTAAGGGTCCTCCCCCTCAGTGGATCCTGTGAGAGCGCCGCATGTCACCACGTCCCGTTATCGCCCCTTTCTTCTCAGCTTTAAAATGTGTGCCACACTGAGCGCGCTTGCATCCGGGCCTGAATCCTCCCGTGTGTGCGTGGCTATTCCTTGCATGTCTCCGGGGAAAACACCCGACTTGATGAGGTTGGTCCGACCTCCAGCTGTCTCCCGTGTCAGCGGCCTCGCAGCTTGTCTGGCTGAGTTCTATGCCGATGTTACACGCTGGTGTTCCGTGTGAATTTTTCATCCCTTTTCTTCGCAAGAGCAGCTCGACTGAACACACGTCAGTCCCTGCGGACTGCACCTGTCCTCCGCAGGGCCCGGGGAGAGTGCCGCTTGATGTGCAGGAGAGGTGATACCGTGCAGAGCGTAGTTATGGAGAAAACAGACAAAAAAACAATAACATGGCTCAACCAAGTAGGAGAGATGGCTCTGTCAGGTTAATTTAGGGTCAATCATTCCTTCATTGAGATTAAGTGACTGAAAATGTGCTCTACGAAACGGTCGATTCTCTTTTTTTAAAACTTGTTTCTTACAATATAACAACTGAAATTCAAAATGTCTCTATAACACCCTCATGTGTCC